GGATTGAGATTAGGGATTAAATTAAATCGGGATTAAAATTAATTTGGGATTAAATCTCTCGAGGCGTTCAATGGGATTAGGGATTAGGATTAATTTAGTCCAATTTTAATCCCGGATTGGGATTAAAATCGTATTTATCGTCGATCACATTTATATCTAGTCAATGTTTCCAATGTTTTCGTTAAATTGTTTGATAAGTCCTGACAGTGTGATTGAATATGAATCTTGCCGTTACCTAATGACCGTATAAATAATGACCTAAAGTGCGAGTTGTCGCTTAAGTGACGAGTCTCCAATTGATTAACATTGAAGTTTGAGTTAGTGGGCACTCCCACTGGCCACTCTAAGTTATTATTATACGGCCATAAGAATATGTACGGCACACATTAGCGACATAAAGTAAGTTTACTGATTAAGTCATCAATGAACTAAAATCAACTTGAACAGATAAAGTTTTATCAAATGCTTTTAAATACATGAGTTATTTGTTTCACAATATCGAATTGTTGTTTGCGAAATACAATGATGGAATTGCCGTAAATATAGTTGATAGGTATGGGAAACATATTTCTCATTGAAACAAAAGGAGAATTGGCAAGGTCTCCGAGAATTTTCAGCAGGTGGAGCTGATTTAATCCCATTTTAATCCCTTCTTGGATTAAAATTAATCAATGGCTTCCGGGATTAGGATTGAGGATTAATTATTTTTTCCAAACTTCTTGGGATTGAGGATTAGGGATTAAAAGTCGAAAAATAGGGATTGAGGATTGGGATTAAGGATTAATTAATCCCAATCCCAATCTCAATCCTCAATCCGTAATCCCGGATTAACCAGACTCTGTATTTGTGTAAAAACCTGTGGAAAAATCATGTTTAATGTTTGCCTTATACATACTCGTATGGAATAAATTAAGAATATAGTTCATTCATTCATTAATAAGGTAAATTGAATAGTTAGATATATACGTACGTTAATTAAACAATATACATACAGGGAGTATTTCGGGTGGGTTGTGGGTACTGCACTCATTTTTAAGAATTATGAAAAATTGAAGTATTTTCGAAAGTATTGTTAGGCGAATTTTAATTAAATGACCTTCCAATGGTTTGATAATATACAAAAAGACTAAATTAAGAAAAAGTACATGCTTTGATTCATTGTAAAATGCAAAAATCAATTTAAAAAATCAATTTCGATGTAACTTATAACTTGTAAAAATTCTCACATTTATTTAATTTTGTGACACAACTTATTAAATCAAGAACTCAATTTGCAAAAAATTATACACGAAATTATAAATTATGTAGTACATAATTTCGCAATCTATAGAAAAAATTGTTTACATAATGCATGAATCACTATTATTTATAATGACCAATTGAATCTAACACGGCTTTATTTAATACGCACATTAAAAAAACAGACAAGGTGTCGAAATTTGCAAACATAAATAAATTTTACTGGTTTCCTTCCTCCGAAGAATTTTCAAAATTTCTACTTGCACGAACAGCCACTCGTCGACCCACAGGTGGAGCATTATTGTGGAGATCCACTAAATTCCCCACAGAAACTCTTTTTTGGCGACACCCACCGAGAAGGAGACGACATTTTGGAACTGTGCTTTTGTGGTATTTCGAAAATAGCGATTCCACGGACAGTGAAGTAGTTATTGCAAGAAAACATGTCAGTAATTTTTCTGGGGTCAAATAACTGCAAAATTAAAAAAATTCAAAAGTGAAAGCAATGCAATATTTTGTATGTGACAATTGTATGAGTTAGAAGTCAAAATACAATTTTTACTTACTGGATTTGTTGAATAATTAATTCAGGTAAGAAGGTCCTTGTGTGTAAAGCTACAAAAGGTTGAGATGAATTGTGATGTGATTTGCTTCTCTGGTTTCTGAGTGACTTTCCGTTTCAACTTTATACCCAGGCTTGCATCAAGTTGCATGAATTCGTTCATGAATCGATTATAATTTCAACTGAAGAACAATGAGAGGATGTGAAATGTGCCCAATTCCAGCATCAGTATATTATACATACGTGCAATTATAATTAGGAAAAGCACAAATACAGAAACAATGTAGGTATGGATTTGCCAGTAGTGAGAGTAATTTTATACACTGTGCAGCTTACAAGTAATCAAGCATAACCTTAAATTGTATAAAAAATTTCAAAAATATAATCCCATCATTTTTTAATTGACTGGATCGCCTTTTCTTTCTACAACTTGATTTGTCAGAAAACATTGCCTGATACTAAATAAATTGGCACAAATCTTAACAATTGAACTAATAAAAATGTATTTTCTTAAAAAATTAATTTTCATGACATACTGGGAATTGCTTTGCACTTTATACACTAATACGATTTTGCATCTTCAAAATGTATTTATTGCATATAGTCAATAATTTGCTAAATTAAAATTGTATGATCACAATATGTATCACATGAGGTATCAGGTTGTATCAATCTGTACCTATGAATGTATGACAATTCCTGTAACCAAATGGCTTGAAACTTCTAAAGAACACAAATATGAAATGTTGGTCATTTTAAATAAGTAGATTAAGTAGAATTTTGTTTGAGAAAAATTTAGCTTTTGAGCCATGGACTAAAATTAACATAAAATATGGTACAACTGTTTCTGTTTGTCATGGTTTTCGTATTTTACCACAAGAACAGCCCCTCGTTGACCCGCAGGATGAACATTGTGGTGGCAAGCTACTCGTTGGCCGCACCCACCAGGTTGAGATTTTGAGATGCTGATGATGATTTCCAGATACGACAGCCCCGCACTTGTCAGAATTATAGGCGCCAGTGACCATATTGATTTCTTTCCAGAAAAGTTCCAGCAACTACAAAATATATAAACAAACATTTCAAAAAAAATTACTATTAAAAAAATGTACAAAATTTGAAAATATGCTTAAAGCTTACTACACACCTTTAGAAATTTGACTTTCCAAGGGTTTAAATTTTGGGATTGTTTTTGATTGTCTAGCTGGAGGTGATTTTCTCTTATTAAAATGCTAGTTTGAACCTCAATCTCATAATGATGTCCATTTGTGGAGAAAATGCCTCAATTTATACCCAACCAACTTATCCACGCCGACTTATTATTGTAAAATAATAGTGCAAAAACGATGAGTCAGGCACCATTTCAGAGCTGGATGGAATATTGCATGTACATCAAGTACGATAGAAAATTATGCGTGAACAAAGTATGTAACTCGTATAATGTGTCATCCAGAATGGCAAAGGGTGTCCCCCGAATGGTCCCCATTCGCAGAACTGGCCAATTAAGTGGTAGAATTCACCTAATAATCATGTAATTTGGCGAAAATGCTGCCACTTGACTACATTTAACTTTAATACATATGTAAATTATGCACGGAAAGGATGACTAATGTACCGGGCGAGATGCACATTTACATTTGTATGTACAGAAGGAGATACATATGCAGAAATGCTCGAGTGTAACAGTGTGAGTATTTATCATGATTTGTGCAGATATGCAAATCAGAGCAGGTATTAACGGCAGGTTATACAGAGATATATGGATGCAAGAGAACCATAACACCTCATCCGTAGTAATTTATGGTAAAAGTAATGCTTTCAGAGAATTTTGACCCGGGTGTTAATTTAACCCTGTTAACTACACATGATATAATTGACCTGGGAGGGACACAAACCTTGACCCCAACCCCTCAAGTCTATCGCTTTTTGCCTTATGCAGAGTCCCAAAGATTTTGTTGTTAGTGTTTTTCGCTTACTTTTTGCACGAAATGAGAATTGTTGTATATACATTATTTATACAGTTACATACGCTTGGTCTGGAAAAGATTTTGTTATATTTCATCGTAAAAAATGGTACTTTCATTATGGATAAGAGATGCATCATATCATGTACGAACAGGAATCCAAATTTTCGAAAAATAAGTATATTTGTGTGAACTTAAAAATATAATGCATGAAAACATTAATATATCTTAGACTGCAAATTTTGACCTTCAAATGCACAAATAATGGCTTATTGTAACTTAATTCTATTTTTAGTAAATCCATTTGGACGATGAATCCTTAAATTTCCAGCATGTTTTTAAGCATATTTTATGACTTTCACCAACTATGGCCACCATTTTTATTTTTGAATTTTTAAATAATTATAAAAAATGTTTACAAACGATATATTTCTCTTAATTGTTATGTAACCTAATGCTATGCTTACTGTCACTGTAAGGAAATCACAAAGCTACACCACCGTATAATCTTTAAAAATAAGTTTAGGTGAATAATTTAATATTCTTTTCCATTTTGGCATTTTAGCTGCTCATCTTAAAAGTCGAAGAACATTTATAAAAATTCATGTGCGCTATGGTGCAAAATTTTGTTCATAACTAGACGAATGCCATACATGAATCATTTCAAAAGTGAAAAAAGTGTGAGAAATTTACAACGCAGATAACTTTGACGCTGACCCAGCTTCAGAATTATACATATTTCAGTGAATTCTAACTACTACTCGAGATTGCCTCTTAATGCAACTTATCCCCGATAAGTGCGACTACTCATCCAAAAAACGGTTCCAAAAAGATGAGTCAATTGCCATTTTATAACATTGCAGGTAAAAAAGAAACAAAACAATTCCTTTTTCGGAGGTCTGTGTCATCCGCAATAATATGAACGGGATTGTGGAAGTAAAGGATGTTCCTGAATTCAGAACTATGAAATTTACCAGATTTACAGTCCACGTTAAAATTATAAAGCAATGAAAATTGATGACTAATACGGAATATGTGGAGTATAACAGTATCACAATTAAGTGAAACTTGGTTATAAAATCCGATGCAGATTATTTCTCGATAAGGCCGACCGGTAACACTTATTGGATGCAAAGGATGATTCAGTTGCAAAGTGCTTATCGTTGTGGTGGTTAGGTAAGTAAAATTATTGATAATGACTGAATTTGAATAAAAAATAATTCTCGGAAGAATGGTCGATTTGTGTTGAAATATATTCTAATATTTTAATTTGTATACAAGCATTTGATATTTTTAAAATTTCGTGTTTAATAATTGTCGTTTAAATAGTGACAAATAGGAGTTCAGGTCAATTCGCACTGAACAATAATTTACGACCTGGTTTGAAAATGACTATTATTGGTGACAAAAATCTTATAAATTCTCATATTCATGTTACTTTATGCATTTAATAAAAATTATCCCTTTTTAAAATAATTTGTCCTTCCATTGTCGGAATTACTGTTTTCATAATAAAATTGGGAGAACCATCTCCGAAATAATTTAATTGTTTGTTCTTCCCTTATCAAAATCGGTTTATCCAAGAAGCATTTTCTGTTCCAGATTCGGATGTCTCTTGAAATCTACATATTTACATAAATGTACATAAATTGGTAAATTCTAAAATAATCATTAATTTACCTGCTTAGACTCCGCATCTAGTATCATATTAGCCACAGGTTGGATAATCCATCCCCCCGAATAGAAACGGTGGGTCACTGTCTGCAAAAGGGGCTCAATTGGGGTCACCGTTTGAACGAAGACGCCTTGTCCAAAATATGTGTCAAAATGCAAAATCACGATCCCAGGACCGATCTAAACTTTGCTACATCATTTGAATTGTTTGATTTGCTAAAATTCCATTTAAAGTAGGACTCGATGACTTATCGCAAAAATCGTCGAAATCAACACATTTTTAATTATTCTTCAGCTCTGGAAATTTATTTTAAAGTTCGGGACTAGAAATTTGTAGTCAGTAAGTTGATTAATAAAATGCGGAAAAGTTTGTTAAGTCAATTTCGATAAGTTCCAATTTTTCTGAAGGTCTCAAACTTTTCTTTAAAAAAATTGTCAAAATCTGGAGTGTTTCTCTTAAATTGACAACGCCTTGCTCTACAAATTAGTCCCCCAATATTTTTAAATAAATTCTCAGAGCCGAGAAATGAGTAAAAATGTGCCGATTTTGATGATTTTGGCAATGAGTCATCGAGTCCTACATTAAAAAACTTCCTACCTGACGAACATCCACATTTATATGCAAACAAGAAAAACGATTAAACAGTTTAATCAAATGGGTAAGCTTCATAATTGCTTCGTGGCTACGGTTAACGTTTGGCTCCCACGTTCCATGCCATACATGTTGTATTAAATTTCTTGAAATCCAGGAACTCTTCGGGTCATCGCCACTCCAAGCGGAATCACAATGAAGTACGTTTAAGTGTCCAAGATCTGCACCGTTTTCTGGTATTTCCTATACAATTAATTACTCGCATCGTCACTTTGTCATAAATGCTAACAGTTGGTAAATAGAAGTATTTATTGCAGTGCGCTTGATAATTTGCATACCTGAATGTGACAAGCCACGCGCATTTCCGACCTTCCACGATAACTCCACTTGCCCTCAACAATTTCCGGGATAGGATCCAAATTCCAAGACGGGCCACTTCCTTCACTATGAAACCATACGAATATGAAGCCATTCGTCTCCGTGACAGGCCACAGTTTAATTTGTGCAAATCCGGGAACTTTTTTTCCAAATTATGAAAAAATTGTAAATAATTTTATTTATGTAGTTACTTAAAGTAATCTATACCTTTCTCTGCGTACGGAATTCGGGTTAATTTTCCCTCCTTTTCTCCATCAAACTCCCATCCGTGAAAGGGACATTGGATGCAGTCACCTTTGACCTCACCTCCAACACCGAGATGTGCACCGAGATGGGGGCAATAGGCATCGGCCACGTAGGTGACCCCACTCCTCCTCCCTCTCCACGCTACTAAATTCTGGCCTAAAGCATAAATTTCCTTGGTCTCTCCTGCCTTCAAGCTTTCAGATTCGAGAATGGCGAACCACCCGTTTGGATAGGATGGCGGAAGTTTCCCATTTTTTCTTCGTTTCCGCATCTCGTTAATGGCGTTTCTTTTGTAAATGTCATTCCCAGTTTTGGAAACCGACTCGAATCCGAGGTCTCCAAAATCCTTCGAGTAATTAAAAAAAATCATGTCAAGAGGCAAACGACTAGACAATTTTTTTCCGGATTTAATTAAAGTTTTTTCTGTATTTAATTCCGCACGGATGAAACGGTTATCAATGCATTCAGAAAACAGTGTTTTAATTATGCGATTTATCTTAAGGTTTACGTACCCTAAACAAATTGAATGGCCGAAAAAAGACTCGCCAGCAAAGATAAATGATCAAAACTAGACAGATTCCCAAAATTTCTATACCCATTTTTACCTCCATTTATAACGTTTTAATCAATCACTGCACTTACCAAAATGCTATTTGCAACTAGTCAGCCTTGGCTTTTTATCTGATTATTTATGTGACAAGTACGTAACGTAAATCCCAATCCAATTAACTACCGCAAGTGATGACAGTAAACAAGACTTATCGATCCACTTTTGCACAGCCCGAACCAGTTTCCTCCAATTAAGAAAAATTGAAACTTTTTTATTTTATATTTCGATTTAATACGTATCTCTATTGGGACGCTGTACCGAATTTAGAATTGCGACCATCTATGAATAATTCAACATGTATGAATTCTGTATGAATTTAGAATGTTTTGCACCAACGGTGACCACGCCTGGAATTTTTATATAAATATGTATGATCCCCTACCGGTCCAAATGTTTTTCATCTTCGAACTGGTCTTATGCATTGTGCAGATATGTAAATGAGTGTGCAAAATTTTTCCAAAATCTGTCAACCCACTCTGAAGGACGGGCATACAAAAAGAACGGTTACATAGGCCATTCTGGAAAATAAATACGTACATATTTCAGCTTTTTGAGACAATTTCTGAAAATTGAAAACTTTTTCGCAATATTCATATGGTAAAAATTTCAAACGAATCCGTTCATGTGTTTAGCCTCTTTCGTGTTCAGAGACTGACTGATAGACATGAAGTTCCACAAGACCTGATTTGGACTATAAAAAAACTGGAGCTATTAAACATGTATATCGCATATATCCCACGTAAGCTAGGCGCAAACTGACGTTAAAAAAGTCATTTTTATTGATTCCCAATTGTTCATTTTCCTTATTAATCAATAAATGTTCATTTTCCTTAGTTATTTGAAGGGGTCTGTCTAACAAATGATCTGTTCTGATCTGATAAATCATCTAGTAACTGAATAAATTCTTGTTAGTGGAACTAGATAATACCAATTCAAAGACAATGCGTTGTGAATGTACTTAATTAAATTCCCAACATTATTGAGATACAGCTTATCAGGAAAATGTGACACTCTGTTTCAAAATTAGTGTAGAAATTGTAGTTTTACGAAATGATGATTTTGTTAATATTTTGGCCTCAAAATTTTATGAAAACACCTTAAGAAGTTGAGTGCAGGTGAAAGCTAGCAATTTAAACTCTGTTTCATTTCTGGTGATATCAGCGGGAAAGTCATGTGCCCATTTACTTAACATGGGCACGTGACTTTCCCGCTGATATCACCAGAAATGAAACAGAGTTTAATGAATAAAAATCAAGTTACTATTCTCATAAACGGCTTAGAAAAATGGTTATTAAGAAAATATGAATTTGTTGATTATTTCGGACACACTTTGCAAAAATTTATGTAAATAAATTCATGAATCCAGTTAAAGAACACATCTGCGTATGTAAATGTAGGCAAGTCAAGTACAAGTGAACTTGAATTTTTCTCGCACTTGGGTCATCAGCTTATCCAGACTTTTAATAGTCCAGGTTTTTTTAGAGTCACCTGATGCAAGAAACAGGGGTTGGGTAGTTCATCAAGTTTTAGCTAGAAATAGGACTGCACAATCATTTTGTAACAGGTTAACCTTCAAACAGGTTCGACTAAAATACTAACTGGATATAGCGTATTGATGTATTTTTACATAAGTTTTAATTTGTTAGGTTATCTGAAAACTATATAAATCCGCTTTTCCTGCCCATTTCTCCGTTTGAGACACGACTGTTCCAATGAATTACTGCAGAATGTTACTACTACACTACAAGTTGCAAGAAGTAGGGCTTGCTTGCCTAATTAGCCAGCTAGCTTGGCCATTCATGTATATTTTTAATACTCTTTTTCTCCATCTAAATCCTAAAGTAAGATTCAATAAAAAAAATATTTCTAAATTCTGAAGAATTGTTTATAAAATTCTAAACAAGTAAACATTTCTTCCAGTTCATGGATTTGTACATGTTCATCGCTGGCTACTTTCTCCTCGGCTTAATTGTCGTAATCACGAGAAAACTTTTCCCAGGAAAAGATTGGGTTCTTTATTGTACGCAAATACAATTCCTAAAAATAACTGAGAAAAATATGCAGGAAACCGTCAGAAACTTTTTTTTATCCGAAATTTAAATTTTTTTAAATACTTAATATTGCACGCTAAATTTTCATTTCTAAAACTATAATCTTAAATTTGTTGCTTTTTAGCCTCAACCGTTTTTGCATTTACATGCGTAGTGGATTTGATAATTTCTTTGGAAGTTAATGGCAATGTTTCCGGATTTATGACACAATATCTCAAATATGGGGAGCCTTACTTGAATAGTTCGTTTGGTTTCGCGATTTGCTTATTTGACGGCATCGTCTACTACGCAATGTATTTCATTATGATATTTGCCATTGCTAATGGGTAAGCATAAGATAAAATAGGTGCAAATTTTTTAGTGGGTTTCCTTTATTAGATATTATTTTGCAGGAAAAAATACAAATGTGTCGGTCTGTACTGGTGTGGAGCCATAATTTGCTCCTCGCTTTTGGTTGAAATCTACGGATTTTGTATGGGTGGTCCACACGGCCCAACGATGGCATCTTTGTTAAACACTCCCTACATCGTGGTCCCGATAATTGCTCTGTTCAGGTTTATGATTGTTTTCGCTAAAGCGTTTCAGATTGTACAAAATCCAATATTTCGTTAACTTTCATCACAGATTTTTTGCAGAAGAAAAAAAAAACCCGTCAGTACAGTGGAGTCCGAATTTTTCACTTTCACTCAGACCACGTGAGACAAAGATTGTCACCTCGGTTCTCTTCTTTTTTACTGTTTTGTCAATGTGGAGTATAGTGTCATTGGCATATGTATGTACTTAAAAGAATGAATTTATTTGTAAGAGCGCTTCATTTCTTGTGGTTATTTCTTAGGGATCTCTGGGAAGCGACTTTTGGTTGTTCACTTGGATATCGAAAGCAACACCGTCCATAAACTTTCGAGATCCCGAGCCATTTTCGCAAATCCAAGTTTTAATTTATCTATTCTACGTTTGTCCAATGCACATTATTTTTTTAGCAAACTGTTTCAAGCCACAGAAACCTCAATTCTTATGGAATCTTTTAATAGTTCAGGCTGGAATTGCGTTGCAGGTTGATATTAGCATTTCACGACCATTGCATAATTAAGAGTCATTAAAAAAATTGGATTTACGTTATTATTTTCCTGATTTCAGGGACAATTTACCATGATTGGAATCTCTCTGTATGAAGTAACCACTCCCGCGGAATACCTGTCTAGCCCTGGCAGCTTTGCCTTTTGGTTCTCGCATCTCCTCATTCTTATCGTTCCTCATGCCCAGCTTTACTTCTTATATAAAGGCCATGTTGACAAAGGGGGTGAAAATATGTCCATTTTACAAGAGGACGAAGAAAGACCAAGCAACAGACAAGAATCGTCGGCTTAAACTCTTTCTGGATACGTTCCATTAGAAAGTATGTGTAACAATGCTAATGTTGATAATAAAACGAATTTGCATTTCTTGGAAGTTTCTGTTCTACATATTTACATTATGCAAATTACATACATATCTACATACATACCTAGGTCAACAAAGAGAATTTCCAGCAAAACTGGTTTTCTTTGATTTTTATCCTATCAATTACATGTGCAACAAGTTCACGAAGTATATACAGACAGAAAAGTCATAAAACTTCTAAAAAATTAAAAGTGGTTTATTGCATCAGTTTTTTCAACAGGTTTTCGAATGGTACATATATATGTATTGTAAACGGAGATTATATTTGACGATAGTTTTTTATATATTGCACTGCCCTGTCTTTACAGGGAGAACTTCAGCAACTTAGATAATTTCGCAATTGATTTAATCGCTTGCATGGCCAAGTTTGGGACCACTTGCAACCCTGCAAAACTTTTTATTCCAGTTTGAAATATTTGGTCTTATTTTCTTATAAGTGGTTCTACTTAAATTCCTAAATTGAACCGGTTTAGTAAACTCTTTCATGGTTTAAAATAAGTTGCAGTACGTGAACGCTACTGTTACATAGATGTAATTTACATCCATATTTTATATAATGTAAAAGAGCTTAAAAATACTACATTTCGTTTATTTTCAGATTTTGCAAGCATGGCTGTGCAAGTTTGCAATGCTTCAGTGAGTTATCGAAGTTCAGCGACAAGTGTTCTAAATGGCGTCTGCTTGCAAGTGGATCCGGGAACTATGTAAGATAACCGAAAACATTTTGTTTGTAGTGAAATTGCTTAGGTGAATTTGTGTTTTTTTGTAGATATTGTTTACTGGGTTCTAGCGGCTGCGGGTAAAAATTTACGTAGTTGTTTGGAATAAAATATCAAAATAGTACGCCTGCTAATTTTATCTAGTAAAACAACTTTGCTTTCGTGCATCACGGGAATGCAGAAGCTGGATAGTGGTTTCATCTCAGTTTTCGGAAGAACCGTGTGGTCTAAAGAATTGCTTGCTCGTAATATTTTGGGATATATGCCGCAGGTATTTACAATAATGCCAGTAAGTAAATATACATTCTTTAAGTGGAAAATGAAATGCGTTTTCAGGATTTATGCCTTCACAAGTATTTGACGATTGGAGAAATGATTTCCTTGTACGGACACATTGGCGGAATGAAAGGCAGTGACCTGGAAAAGAGAGTTCAATTTTTAATTCAGCTTTTACAATTGAGAGACTCTAATGTTCTAATCAGCACGTTAAGGTAATGACTAAAAGCACATAACATCTGGGTTATATTTCAAACTCAATATAAGACTTTCTTCTTGATTTTGTTTTATCCAGTGGGGGACAATGCAGACGCGTATCATTGGCTCTAGCCCTTGTCCATAATCCGCCTTTACTAATCCTTGACGAACCAGTTGTAGGTAAGAATTTTCAGTTTCAGGTACACCACACAACCTTTAGATTCTAAAGATTTAAGTTGTACATACTACGCATTGTGTGCAAACCCTGCGTACTATAAATGTGCACTACACACTGTGTAGTATACCCTGCGTACTATAAATGAGCACTACACACTGTGTACTATACCCTGCGTACTATAAATATATACGTATCATGCAGTATGTACAATGACCTTAGTACTTGCCCTACGTACACTGATGAAGTTGCAGTACTACTGCAGCAGTAGTATTTGAATTTTGTTGAAACATCCTTTTTACACCTTTTAACAAATACTTTAGGTATGTGGTAATATATCCATTTCCCTCTAATCTTCACGAATACTAATTTTTGCTGTACCAGCCTAACTTTGTTTATTGAAATGATTTTATTAAATGCCTATACTAAAATGCAATCCTTTCAGGTTTGGACCCTTTGCTGCGTGAGAGGTACTTTCAAACCAGTATATAAGTATATTATGGAAATATTTTGTTCTCACTTCTTACTGATTTGTACTCATTAGTATTTGGAATCATTTGGCTAGCCTGGCAAGAAACACGACAATAATTTTGACAACACACTATACAGAAGAAACAATTCGATGTGACCGGGTAACTAATCAAAACTAAATTTAAATGGGGCTAAAGCTATAGCTTCGCTCAGATGAAAAAAGTGTTGTGATCTCTTCTTCTACATTTTACAGATAGGGATACTAAGACATGGAAGGATAATTGCTGATGATACTCCGCTAAATTTAATAAATAAATACAACACATTACTAATTCAAGACGCGGTTTTAAAAATTTGTAAAGACGACAATGAAATGGCAATTACGCATGAAACTCAAAATTTACCCATAATTGAGAACAAGGGAAGCTTTCCTCTTAACGACGCCTTAGGAGGAAGTAGTGGAACCATTATTTATGCACTGCTGAAAAGGAACTTAACATCGCAAATTAGGAATCCAATGTACGAAACGTACCTACCCATTGACATTTCCAATACAATTACATTAGTTTTGATCAATTAATCTTTATGTAGGATGATTTGTCTACAAATAATGATGCCAATCCTACAAACTCTCCTGGGTGACTTGATTACTGGAGGGGATCCGAAAATGGTCACGCTTTCTTTAATCTCTTCCCCTTACTCGTGTGGTCAAAATTCATCCAGGTGTTTTTATGACGAAGATTATGCTACGTGTAGTTTCATTAGAAAATTGAATTCTGAGGATATTTCTCTGGTTGGATTTCGAATTATATAATACCTGAGATGGCTTTATTCCACTATCTTATTCAATTATTTTAACCTAATAGAACTGGAGAGCCTCGATGGCTGATGGGCTGACTGCCATTGCCAACGGAGAAGACAATGGCCTGTTGCACCTGCCTTCCAATTTTAGTACACACTTATTGACCAGATTTTTTGAGGGGAACTTTGCAACAAACGAGTCAATTGATGGCTCAACAATTACGACCAGGTTGGATATGTCAAGTAAGTACATAATTAACCATTTAAAGAGGACAAGTAAAAGTTACGATGTCCATAATTCCTGTCACCAGGCGACAGTAGAGTTACCTTAATTCGTGAGGGAGCTTTATCTCTAAGGGATCATTATTCGTAACCAAAAATGCCAGTCAAATATTGTACTCCGTGACAACTTTTTTCGCAAAATTTTTAATTTTTAGCCCGACCCAGGGCTTGTGTACCAGTGTTGTCCGTCTGTCCCACGCGATATAATAGTATAGTTCTGTGGTCCCACGTTAACTCTTTTTATATCGACTTGAAATTTTCCACACATATAAACCATCCAAATACACAACTCGGGTTCGAAGACTGGTTCGATCGGTCAAGTGGTTGGCCGGTGGGGGTCAAGGGTGACGAAAATTCAAAATTTGTATGAAAGTTGATAATGATTTGCTGCAATGAAAGAATATGACGTGGAATTGAATAGATTTTTATCATGAGATACGTTATGTTTTGATTCCATACTAAATTTTGGCTGATTATATAAATTTTTAGAAATCGGTGTGGACCACCCCCTAGTGTCCCTCTGGCCAATTTTTGTTCATATTTAACTTCCTAAATTATTTCATGAGAAGGCAGTAAGTATCTCTGGTTTTAATTTCAGCTTTCCATGTTAATTCCTGAAACTTGGTGGGGTCACCCCATAGCCTAGGGTCCTTCCAGATGAAAATTTTTCAGATTCCAATGTATACTCTTCCATTAAGAGCCATAAGAAAACTAAATGCCAAATTTCAGCATGATATGATGATTTTGAAAAATCAGTATGGGTCACCCAATAGGACCCTTCCATATGAAAATTTTACCAATTTGAGTTCATATTCTTCCTTTAGGACCCATTTACTACCTCTGCACCAAATTTCAGCTTTCTACGAAAATTTCGAAATTTTGGTGCATAATACCCCACCCACCCAGACGACCCCTACGGGTCAACCAGTGGACCGATTTTGTCCATCTTCGAATTCGGTTCCTAACTTTGTCCAATATGCATCTCGTAAAAATTTCAAGTCAATCGGCCAACTCGTTCCAGAGTTACCGAAAGACAGACAGACGGACGGACGGACATGACAATTACATAAGCCTTGGTTCGGGCTAAAAACAAATGTCGACGTCACGAATTATGGCGAATTTGCCTGAGAGCGACAAACGTCTACGTCACGAATTAAGATAAGGTTTTCTGTGGCAACATATGTCATCGTCACGGGTTATGAACCGGATTTTTGAGATGACATATGCCTTTGTCACGAATTATGGACAAGTCGCCAAAGTGACATATGCCACTTTCACAGATTAAATGGTTAAGGCTTAATTGGGTCCAAACATAACTAATTTCTGCACAGACGCCATTCTTGGAGGTTTCTTAGCTAACAAGATAAAGAACGCATACTTCTTTTTCCTCAAAGAAATCGCGGCAGATTGTGGGAGAGACAGCCGTTTGGCCGACATCCCCCTGAAGGTTTTAAATTCGCAGTTAAATATTTAACCGCAAATTAGGTTGTAATTCAATTTCGTTTTTCTCAGTTTAACCCAATTTACGGCCAGTTGGAGGGAGGGTGGGAGGAGTATTTTCAGCCGAGCATGATAATCGATATGAGTTTCCTCTTTCCTGCCGCGATTATTTCGGGGTTCCTCGTCCTCGATAAGGCCAACGGGACGCTAAGCCGTGCCGCTGCGATGGGCGTCAGTTTAACGCACACCGTAGTTTCTGCATTTCTCACCCAGTTCTTATTCCTCATTTGCCAAGTGTTTACCCTCCTGGCATTTCTTACGGTGTTTTCTAATCTTGAAATTAACGGATCCTGGTTACTTTTCATTGGTCTCCTTGTGTTAGTTGGATCTACAGGAATTACCTTTGGTAATCTGACCTGTTGAATATGACGCTAATATTTGAGTTAAAATGTTTTATTCTTAATAATTCATTGGGTTCAGGAATATTCCTCGCGACCGCTTGTAGTCATGTTACGGAAGTGATGTTCATCATGGTTTGGATGATATTTACAGCAATTTTTTCCACCGGTATTAATGAATAACATATTTCGCAATTATTCTGAGGTAGAACCTAATATTTACTCAATTTGTTAAAGGTTCTATGTGGCCGATGGAGAGTGTTGTCCCCTGGTTTAGATATTTTTGTTATATTTATCCAATAACTCTACCACTGGAAGGGTTAAGATCAATTGCATCGAGAGGATGGGGGTTGGAGCACGTACAAGTTTCTGTTGGATTTGGGGTATTGGTCGGATTGAGTATAATTTTCGTAGTGATGAATTATGTTGTTGCAAAGTGTCGAAAATAAAATACTTTCTATATTGTTCGAAAATAAAACAAATTGCCAAATTTCATGATAACTGACTGATAACCGATGAATGTGTGTATTTTCTTAAAAATAAAAAAAATACGTACAAAATATTTCGTCATGTTCCCGGATTTGCAAAGATTTTAATTTTAATTAAATGTTGTAATACGATGCCGTTAAATAGTCCACGCAATTACATCTCATGATTTTCTATTAGCTGTGTAATTTAATTTTGCTGTCACGTTTCATTTTGCAACCTCAAAAATTCAAGCCCCCAACTTAATAATTTGAATCGTTCCTCCAGCAGGGTTTCCTAAATTATGAATCCCTTCTAACCCATCAGCCCCAATATTTACTTGTCCGAGAGTGTCATCCGGTGCGAAAGCGTCATGGTCTCGAAATTCGAAGTTATAAATTTCAGTGGCATCCCAATTTATGGCGAATTGGAAAACAGGGTCGTGCGTATTGTCCAAAGTTTCACTGCGATAAATTTGTGTCCCCACTTTGTTCCTGATGACCATAAATGGGTCGGACGAGTCCATCGGTGTAATTTCCCCTTCGGCATTCTTCAAATCTCCGTTGGGGAGATGGCTGTGAAATTTGAAATTATAAAAATTATTCAAAATTATGAAATATAATTTTTTTCAAATCGTTCTTGATGCATTTATTACGAGCAAGCCACGACATAACTCCTGTTTTCGAGTGGTTTCTTGTCCTCAGTTGTTGGGAAAGCAAGACTTCCTAAAATTAGGGTAGAAATTAAAACGGCAAGTGTGAAAGATTTCATTTTGGAGAAAGCAAATCGAAAAGTTCGATTTCAATTCAGACTAATTCAGACTTGCTGACGGAACGTTACAGATTTTTGAGTCCAAAATCGTGTTATATTTATAGGAAGGTTTAAGTGGGTGTGTGATAAGTCGAAGATCATTTCTTGCCATGCGTGGTAAAACCGTGTTTTTCGATTTAGCTGTGATTATTTTATTGACTGATTGATTTGGTGGTTGATTGTGTTAAATATAAATATTTGTTTGCATAATCGTATTATGTATGAGAAGATTCGGAAATTATGTAACGTGAAGAGTTGAGCTCCATTCTAATGTTACTATTTAGCAGTTACAGATATTGCAGAAATAGCAAAAAATATTGAGTATGAAGACAAGATTAAATGTGACAATTTTGTGATATGGAATATGGACTGGAATTGATAAACTTCGCAAATTCAATCGGATAGATTACGATGGGGATTTTCCCTTCAAAAAAGTCATCAAGTACATTGGTTTATTTTTACATGGATGGTCGTATACGTATTTAACAATTACGTCGAGGCAAGCATCAAATTAATTTCAGATTGGCATCACGTATATTTTTAAATAGGATGTAATATGTAGTGATCAAGTGTTCTTTGTCAAAAAATTAATTGCGAGTTGTCACCAGTATAATTTGAGAATATTGTATATGACCAGAAGCAACCAACGCAATCTTCTCGATTAAAAATACATGTACGCTGATAAATCAATCATTTTATGGAATTGAAGTCGGTTGCATAATAAGAATTCTCTGTAAAACGGCTGCTCGGCATGCATACATAAATTGTGCAAATTTGTCTTCCTTCAAAAACTTCATGCATGATTTGAAATTGTCAGAAAAAATTTTAAAAAATCTCAGTTTACACCAAATTTATTATCTCGATTACATAATGAAGGCCACTAATTACAAGCTCTTGAATTATTGTACTAAAAAGGCACTGAATAATATTGCTCAGAATTTACCTCGATATCGATTTGTTATCGTCTGTTATTCACCACGGCTTAAATTTAATACTCGTCCCAAACATGGACACTTCGATCCCGTCGTTGCGATCAATCTTCCCCCCACAGCCGAGCAATTTAGTCTCAACCCCATCCGCCCCCACTCGACCCCCACTCGACCCCCACAATCAAATCCGACACCAGCTTCAACCCCCACGGGACCGGCTGAAACTCCAACAGACGCCAACTTTCCTCGCACCTGCAAAAAAATACATACCTTATCTTTTGCTTATCGCATTGAGATAACAAATCCAACAAAATTGTAAGGTTTTCCAACCAAACGTTTTATAATGCAATTTTTAGTTTCCAAATTTCGAACTTTTTAAATCTTGCGAAATATTTGATAACTCACAAATCCTCCAGTGTTTCTCCCAACGCCGACGTCGTAGCCCACTCCCAACATTCCTCCTTCGATTTTTGCTGGTCCCAACCGTGTCGAGACAGAGACAGCTTCAGCCCTGCTTCAATACCGACTTGGTCTCTTTCTTTCGTCACACCCACACTCATCGTCCCAGCGCTAACCCCACTCTCGTAAATTCCTACCTCCGTGTTAATCTTGGCCAGGTCGAGGTTCAACGTTTCTCCCTTTTTGTGACGCCCAGCCCATCCAGAGACACGAGAGCCGGAAGTCTTATTTGCGTAAAAGGCATCCCCATCGGATCGTCCAGGGCGATCTTTGTTCTCTTCAATGTAATCCACCTCGTTTTGGATTTGTTCTTTGATGTCTCGTAGATCGATGGAAATTTCGATATCGTCGTCATCATCGTCTTGATCATGGTGACGATTAGTTGCTGCTGATCGACCGTAATTTTCAAGCAAGTCTTCATCTCGGCGATGATGGTGGCGGCGGCGGCCGTGTCGTGACATTTCGAAAACTATAAAATGTATTAATAAATTATGTATGCAATGCAACTACATCAATCAATCAATCAAATTTATTGCATATTCGGCCAACGGCCCTTGCAGAACATTAGAATAATTTTACAAAATTTGTATAATATGTATATATAGTATGTATTTAGGTTATGATTATAGTTGAGGGTAGATTTTTCGTAATCTTTACATTGAAGTATGTTAGTCAGTACACATGTCAAGCATTTTTGATACGGACGTCCAAAATAAGAATATAGCTTTACAATGATCAATGTTTAAAATGCTTTCTTTCAGTAAATTGACAAGATCAGTTCCGTGATGATTAGTAGGGGAGAAATTTAGTCTGGAAAGGAGAGTTGCACGTTCAAGAGAAAGGGGTTTACATTCTAATAGGAAATGTTGAGCTGATGTTAGATTGGTAGATGTGCAGAGATGCAATGCAACTACATAATCCTTGTAATTGCAACCATTTACCTCGAATTAGTTCCTCAAACGTAAAATAAAACGAAAAATAAATTATAAAAGAAACTTAAAGCGTCGTCTTCTTAGGATTTCCGCAATGAGTATGATACTTTTTCAGTCACTATCAATATTATATATGCTGTTAAAAGCGTTGAACTTTGGTGATTGTGACGTTTTAATGCTGGGTTCTCATGAATCCTCATGGACCTCATGAGATTTTTTCACTAGTTGAGCTAGTTGTTGGGATCCTAACTTTAAGTTTAACTTTAAATGCACTAAGTAAACGTATTTCGAGTGTGGCATCTTAAAGTAAGTAAATACATGGATGCATGTAACAGAATCTCATGATCTGGTTGAAATCGTTCTTATGCAAGTGGTTTAACTTGACGAAAGAACGTTTGCGCATATAAATAGTTTGATTACTACAGTTTAGAGCGTAATAGGAGCTATCTATGGTCTAGAGTATGCAATTTGTACACTTTTAGTTAAAATGTAGTAAGAGTGAGAATAAAAATAAAAAGTTTAATAATTATGTAATATTAAGTTTATCCTATGACACATGAAGTTCGGCCTCTGTCACCATCATGAAATTTTTCTAGTCAAGATCTCAATTTATCTGTTAAGAATTAGTATAAATGAATCCGCCGAAATTGGTTCATTCATATAAATCAGCTATGAAAATAAATGTGTATTTTAGGTTGGATTTTATTTAGTAAATACGAGCCTAGACCGAGTGAAGAATTTTTAATTCGGAGTTTGACTATAAATAAGACAAAATCCTGGATTAAACAAATCACAGGATTGTATGGTACAGTCTACAGGAATACTGGGATCACTGGGAAATCGCACCTCAACCTCGTCAAAGTGGACATTCATCGTGAAAGGTTGAGTACTCGCTGTAACCATAAAATAGCGTAACTTAACAAATGGCACTAAACAATACATAAATAATTATATATATTTAACTTACTCGTAACAACGCCGGGGAACCAGGTACCACAATACTTTGTGTCTCCATAAATCATTACCCAATCTCGTGTACAAGAATCGCCAGACTGACCACCCACATCAGGTCCTGATGTTTCGGTTTCTCCGCTAATTGAGAAATCTTTATCGCCCCCACACGACCTCCACTATTCAATTATTATGCACATTTATACAAATGATAACATTATCAGTAAACAAAACCCTACAGTGCAGACTTGATATAGCCCGAGTGAGGCCAAGAGTTATAATTCAATCCGACTTTTCTGCATGGAATTTTATCGTAAATGCCTTTCAAAAAGTTTAAAAATTTAGATTGATTTTTCCCATTTAAATTTACATTCTTCTATTAATAACAATTGGCAGTCAATTTAACTTTAACAGCTCGATACGACGATTTCGAAAAATTGGTATGAGTCACCCAATAGGGTCTGTCCAAGTGAAAATGTGTCGAATTTCAATTCATATTCTTCCATTAGTAGCCATTAACAACCTATGTACCAAATTTTATCGATTGGATGAGTTTTAAAAATCGGTATGGGTCACCGCCTAGGGTCCCTCCAGATGAAAATTTTTGCAATTTTACTTTGTATTCCATCATTATAAACCATTAGCAACCTCTGTACCAAATTTCAGCTTCCCACGACGATTTTGAAATTTTTGTACATGATACCCCGCCCACCTATATGACCCCTACCGGCTAACCACTAGACCGATTTCGCTCATCTTTGAACTTAACTCCTCATTTGACCCATACTACATATGTGCAAAATTTCTAGTCGATCGGGTTAGTTAAAATCGATCGGGACAGTTATCGCAAGACAGACAGACGTGACGGGTACATAAGCCCTGACTCGGGCTAAAAAGATCATGAAGGTGCACCTCAATCCTTTTCATGCTTGGATTTGTCTTGACGCAAACCGAGTAATCCTGATTATTTAATTGATGCCCAAGATTGAAATTGAAAGATTTTACTGTTCCTCTCTGTTCCGTAAAATATTGGAGACAACCACTGGGAGCTACAATGCAATCCCAAAAAGTTGTAAAATGTTAATCTGATACGATGTACTATAGTAGTAATAGTAGATATACCTTTGTCAGTGGAATCACATTTTATTTGTGTCACCCCAATGTCCCATGTTTGACCAATGAAAGCAACCATAAAAATGTCCAAATTAATGTTCTCACTCGTTCCATAATCCAAATACACTTTGAAACAAATAACGGTTGGAGTAATAAATTTAAAAGTAAGTGAATAATGTGTTTTTATATTTTATACTATGTTGCCCGTCCAAATTTCCGCAAAGGGGTCCAAATCGGGCATTAGTGTTCCCTGAGATTGTGAACGTGTCAGCATCACAACTTCCGGTTACTGGTGTATCCGTATCTTCTGCTATCTGAAATCTCGAAAAATCTAACCGTATCTGGCAAGCTCCAGATTGTTTGGGAACTACGTAGCGGCATAATTGATGAAACTCGGTCCCAGGAACTAATCTCGCCAAATTATTAGTGACCACGGTTGCTCCGGTGGAACACTGATATGTAACAGTTGGTGGAGGTGCTGTTGTAGGAGTAGACTGAACTTCGCAAATGAAGGAATTTTTCTGCGTATTATAAATGGAAACCCAATTTGCGCTGAATTGATTCAGGTACAAAATTGCGAGACGCGATACGGAAGTGGGGCTTCCAGGGTATCCAGTTCCCCAAGGGGCCCAGTTACCAATGGGGGCGTTATTTGAAGTCCATCTCCATACGGCCCCACTCGGGTCATATATTCCACTTGTCCAATAAGTTATACCTAAATACACATACGTTTTAAAAATTGCATCGTAAATTAAATTATGAAATTCTGATATTTTAAACACAAATACCTGCGCCATAGTCTTCCAACATTGCGTTAAGCGAATTTTTTTCGTCTTCTGACTCCAACGATACAAGACTAGCGATATCTCCGAATATTGCTTTGCAATTATTGTTGGCAATGGTCCAGGTCGCCTATAATAAAAATTGTACCTATAACTTCTTTAAGTTAGCGAACCTATGCAGATTAGTGAATGAAAGGTGGATAAGTTTCATTGATAAACGCTCACCGCATTGTCACTGACGTAGTAATCAGACGCTTGAAAGCTTCTAGCGTTTCCTCCAGAAAAGTGACCAATATATGTCATTCCTGGCTCTGAGCGTACAGAAAAACGTATCCTGGAATTATTTTGTCATGCATAAAAGTAATTAAATTACCCTTTTTCTTCGGCGCTGCATCATTTTGCGAAAACGATGCTGCCAGGAATACAAGTATCGCGAGGAGTAATGTCTTGCCTGACATGGTTTTAGAGAGACCTTCCAAGCTACAATGTGTCATGATGACGTGGGGTCATTAATTTATAGCAAAATAAGGTTAATAATGAGCACTGATTCGTGATTAAGTTATATAGTCAGCTAGGATAATCAAGTACATGTATACTGTCAAGTCTTCATAATAATCTCATTGATTGTTGCCGATCAATTAAGCGTCGGTTTAATTTTTATAAACCTTCATAAACGTTTTATCAAGGTTTATTAAATTCACGAACTTTGAGTTTGAGAGGGTTTTGGGTATTTGTGATTTTTTCCGAGTTTCAAAAACCCAAGGAGAATATAAGGTTAAATCGCATCAAGCGTTTACGTTATCTGTATTACTCAGAATTTTGTGTTTATTACCGAAATTCACATCTTCAACTTGACCAAGTTATTCGCTTATCTTGTCGGGATAATATTTATTAGAACTCTTCATACATATAACGTAACTTTATGTTACACATCATTATTGTACGAGAAAATCGCATGCACTAATACGTATGGACAGAAATTTATGTATATTATAGTACACCCGTCACGCTTCCAATAAATTAACCGTCATTTATTTCAATAAATGTAATAATTAGGGTATATTCGTTAAATTGTGCTCGCCGAAATGAGATCACTGGGTGGAAAATGCGAACGGACTACGCCGTTAATTAAAAATTAGGGAATTTGCACTGGTTGATTTGAAAAAAAGTATGAAGAGAAAGTTAAGGGACAGACGACTTGCGATGAATTGCAAAAGTTGCAGGGGATTTTATTTATGTTAATAATAAATTGATAGGGATTTTGTTGTGACGTAATTAAGTCATGCATGTATCACACTGCATCATGCTGCCTGAAGCTTCGTTTGGAGTGCATGGCTAATCAAAAATATCACAACGAAAACAAAATTTTTACCAGTCGAATAACGGATTGGGACCTCGCGCCTCGACATGATGATGACATGAACTGTGAATAAATGGACCTTTACAATAATATTTTATGACTCAAAGTGTGAAGTAAAGTTGTTAAATTTTTGTCGAGTTTTGACAAACAAATAGTTGATATAATGTAATGCACGTGTGACTAAGCTATAAACAATTTGTACAATTTCTTAGTTTTAAATTTTATTTACTATTTTTCACAATAACAATTTAAGCGTCACGTGCATGCAAGGAGATACAGAAATGTCTTGTTTCTAAATTGCAAGTTATATGTATGACCTTTTTAATAGAATTTACATCCATGAATCGCTCGAAATTGTTAGATGTAAATTCGTATTAAGATTGAATGTACTGAAGGTTGTTTTAATTGAGTTTCTCAGCGAGGGTTTTTAATTCACAGTTTGAGTATAAGTGAGACAAAATCCTTGGTTATGCCAATCACATGATTGTATGGTACAGTCCACAGGTATATTGGGATCACTGGGAAATTCTAACTCAACGTAGTCAAAGTGGACATTCAACGCCACAGTTTCGAGATCCACTATTGTCACATCATAATAAATGATTGTAGTTCAACAAATTTATATTATACAAACCTATAATCATAATAAGGGAACGTCCGTAAATCATGTCACGCGTTACAATCCCCTTTTAACATGTAGCGCAAATGGGCCAGCCACGCAGAACTTCTACCCCCTCAACCGTGAAATAATTTATGTACATTCCCTACAAAACTCACTCTTGACGCTGTCAGGAAACCAAGCACAGCAATATTTGGTTGAATAAAGACCATAAATCATGACCCAATCTCGTGTACAAGAATCGCCAGACTCACCACCCACACCTGGTCCGTATAATTCAGTTTCTCCGCTAATTCCGAAATCTTTGTCTCCACCGCATGACTTCCACTATTCAATTATTATGTGCATACTGATGAAAGAACGATTAGTAATAAACAATAGGATCACGAAGGTGTACCTCAATCTTGTTCATGCCTGGATTTGGTTTTGTGCAAACAACGTAATCCTGAATGTTTAACTGATGTCCAAGATTGAAATTCAAAGATTTTACTGTTCCTGTCACACCCGTAAAATACTGGACACAGCCAGTCGGGGCTGCAATCGCATAAAGTAGGACAAATTAGTAAAGTATTAATCTGACATGATAACCTTCCTTACTACCTTTGTCCGCAGAATCGCATTGTATTTGCGTCACCCCGATGTCCCATGTTTGACCCATTTCAGCCAGCCGAGTAATGTACAGGGTAATTTATTGGTCGTTCGATCCATAATCCAAATACACTGAAAGGTTGCATTAGTAAACTTAAAAGTAAATGAATAAAATATTTTTATGTATTATACTGTGTTGTCCGTCCAAATTTCCGCAAAGGTTTCCCAACCAGGCGTTACTGTGCCCATAAATTGACAACGCGTCAGCATCACAATTTCCAGTTACTGGGGTATCAGCATGTTCTGCTATCTGGAATTTCACAAAATCTAACCGTATCTGGCAAACACCAGATTGCCTAGGAATTTCATAGCGGCACAAGTTATGAAACTCGATCCCAGGAATTAATTTCGCCAATTTATTATTGACAATGGTGGGTTGCACGAATACGGCACAATTGGTGGTTCAGTTGAAGGTATAGACGTAGATCCAACTTCGCAAATGAAAAGGTGTTTCTGGGTATTAAAAATTGAAACCCAATTTGCACTGAATTGATTCAGGTACAAAATTGCGAGACGCGATACTGAAGTGGGGCTTCCAGGGTATCCAGTTCCCCAAGGGGCCCAGCTACCAATGGGGGTGTTACTTGAAGCCCATCTCCATACGGCCCCACTCGGGTCATATATTCCACTTGTCCAATAAGTTATGCCTGTGCAAACATATTTCTTAAATTACATCATAATAAGTATTAGGATGAGACTAAAATTTCGATATTTTTGAAACACAAATACCTGCGCCATAGTCTTCCAACATGATGTTAAGCGAATTTTTTTCATCCTCTGATTCCAACGACACAAGACCAGCAATATCTCCGAATATTGCTTTGCAATTATTATTGGCAATGGTCCAGGTCGCCTATGATGACAACAATTAATAATTGTTGTCAATTATAATGTTTTATTAACGCTATATATGTACATCATTTCTATGAATTTACACGAATAAACCCCTACCGCGTTGTCACTGATGTAATAATCTGATCCTTGAAAGGTCCTAGATTTTCCTCCAGAAAAGTGACCAATATATGTCATTCCTGGCTCTGAGCATGCAGAAAAACAAGCCAGTTATGTTATCATATGCGTCTGAATTACTAATTAAATTACCCTTTTTCTTCGGGCCTGCATCGATTTGCGAAACCGACGCTACCAAAAATACAAGAGCTAATGTCTTGCCTGACATGATTCTAGAAAGAGAGCGTCCTTCCAAACTATCGATAGAATATTCTCTCGTGTTTTTTTGTGAATTTATAGCAAAGCAAATTTCGCGTTGTTTTCATTTTTGGCACGCAGTTTTTATTATTTACCAGAATTTCGAAAATCCAATGGGAATAAAAAGTTACATCATGTCAAGTGTTTAATTTATTACCAAGAATATTTTATTTATCACCCAAACCTGTATCCTCAATATGACCAAATTATAGTATTGGCTTATCTTGCCGGGCAGAATATTTATTAGAAGTATTTGCATAACATAATTTTATGTAAGTCATCATTGTACCAGGAAATCACATATGCACTACGCACATCGAAAAAAGTTTGTCATACCCATGGAACTCGAGCAATTAGTGGTTGCAGTTTTGAGGAGGATTTTTTTTTGAATTGTTATATTGAGTCGGCAGAGTATAAAAGAATATAAAACCTAAAGTGCAGACTTCATTTAGCCCGAGTCAGGGACAAAGTCTGCTTCTAACATTTTGTCGGGTATGAGTTATCCTATAGGGTCAGTCGATATGAAAATTTTTCTAATTTAAATTCATAATCTTCCGTTATACATTAGCAGCCTATGCCCAAAATTTTAGCTTATAACGACAATTTTAAAATTTTGGTGCTTAATACCCCACCCACCTATGTATATGACCCCCACCGGTCATCCACTCGACCAATTTCGCCAATTTTCGAACTCTTTTCCTATGGTAAAAATGTCAATTCAATCGGCTTAGCCGTTTTGGGGTAGGACATGACAGTTCCATAAGCTTTGACTAAAAACTAGGCTAAGCAAGTCATAAATTTCAGATTCACCTTATCAATCAAATATCAATCAAGTAACCAAAGAGTTAAATGAGATCACTCATTAGGTGCGAGAATGTAAGGCAACAACGCCGTTATTAAAAATTGAAGCTATTTGTGTAGGATTAAGAGAAAACACTAGGTAAACGTAAACCGAGCAAAAATTTGTCTAAAGCGGTAAGTAATGTTGCAGCGGATATAGGCTTTTTTGCATGAATGGAAGATGAATATCTTCTTTTGTTACATATATATGTATGTCGAAATAATTACACCTGACATCATGCTAATGATGTTTTAAGACTCGAAATGAAAAATACTTCAATGATGGCCAAACTAAATTAGTAAAAATACAAAGTGAAAGTGCGACTTAAGTTATAAATGATTTATAGATTTTTCTTGGATTTTAGTTTTACATTTTATTTACACAACTATGTTTTCATAATAACAATGATGTCGACGCTAATAATGAATCTTGGATTCGATTGGGTAGACTGACTATATATTGATGTCGATATCAATCGAACGGTAGTATATTTTAGCTGGCGTGGCGAGTAAGCATTTCAAATATTTAACTATGACACTACGCAATTTGAGGAACTTTTTAAAACCACTTCCAGAAATTGTAGGCGTATTGTAGATCCCAATTGCTATTTTGAGCGTAAAACTCGTTAAGGTTAATGTCGTGCCATGATCCGGCCGGTCTTGTCTTAAAAATTGGTTCTCCCCAATAAGTTCCGACCACCCATCCCGGAACGTCCTTCATCAGTTCGCGTTCCTCATCCCGAATTTGACGGAGGCGTTTCAAATACCTGGAGAAAATAAATGGATGCAAATTATTTACAATTTGGAAGCTTTATGTTCGAAATATTCAGATAAGCAGCAACTTACATTCTGTCTTTTTCCGCCAACAACATCGGCACGAGACCCAACCGGCTACTTCGTTCTTCCGTAATCATATTTCGTTCCGACCATTCATTTAATTTGCAAAGGTATGCAGCTCCGATTTGAATTACGACGAAGCCAGCGATCATCGTCCTCCCTGAATACATATATTTTAAAATTAATCAATACAAGTTTAATAATGAACTCGTAATCATGATTATGATTGAGTGGGTGTGGTCACCCACCAGTACTTACCACTGAAATATGTCTTTGCAGGGATCCGGAGAAACTGGATCGGTTTGTAGCCACCCGGGGGGGGCAAATCTTGACGAAATTTGGAGTTCGACATGATGTCCTGCGTATGACCCACCCCAATCCAAACAAGGGGCGATTCTCTTCCTAATTATCAATTAAAATTAAACCAATTACAAAAGCTGTAATATTTTTTGCAACATTCAGAAATTTTGTTGTTTTCAACAGTTGGAGCAGGAGAGTCCGTTCAAAGCTTCCTGCGTGAAATTGGGGCGAATTGATATTGCGACTTTCACTCTTCCCATCTCTTTCGCGTCTCAACTTTTGTCTCAACTTTCTCATTTTCTGATTGTATGAATGAATACTTTCTCCGATACGTCTCAATTTTTAGAATAACGAATGAACACTACAGTTTTCAGTATGTACTCCTTAAGATAAACATTCAAATTTTAAATAAAGTAATTTAAATTTAAGAAATTAACGAATTTGCAATCTTTATGACTTTATGTCATATAAGAATATTTGTAAATATCAGTATATAGTGGTCGTCCGTGTTTACCAATATCAAGACCAAGACGTAACCAACATAATACAGATAAAATAGATCCATAATACAATGATCCATGATACATTACAGACAAAAAATGCACACTCTGAACTTCATAATCAAGAAAAGCAGGCATTGTAGAAATTGCAAAAATTATGTCGGCGTAGTAAAACAAGTTACTCTTTTCAATAGGGCCTATATCTGTACATATTAGTGAATGCATTTAAAAATATAATTGCATTTCTTTAAACTTAAATGGTGCTGCTATTTGTCTCAATATATGGAATTGTTACTTACAATAAAATTTCCCCGTTGATGCTCACTCAAAATTACACGGTTTGTATTGTTCTTAAAATACTAATCATCTCATCAGTTGTGTACTATGCATTTTGTTATACTTTTAGGGTGATTGATCCCCCAGAATTAATACAATTTTTTGTGGGCTAATTTCATTCATCACTTTACTGTTCGTTCGTTACATATCATCAACAATACATATTTTTGGAGATCACTATTACATAATTCTAACACACAACCACTGCAAACCATGTAGTTCAAAACAGAAATAATAAACAGTGTCTTTATTACGACTTCCACTACTATCAATTCTAAGAATGCGATAATAATCCTAGTTCTAAACCCTGTTCTTTAAAGTGCGACGCATTTCAAGCAATCTTTCAAACCCTAACTATCACAATTATCTGTACAAAAAAGTATTCACATGCACTGTACACCAATGGCCAAGAACTGTCCACGCAGAACAATAAGTGTATCAACAGTTGAATGAACGCAAGACCTGATTTTACCCATACCGAAATAATTTTAGCATGCATTTTAACCCACTAATCATCATACCGAAAACCCATCTCCACATGACTCTCTGCCGTCCTGAGCTAAATACCCACCCACTGCCATCAACTAACTACCAGGCTACTCTTACACGTCGGCATGAATGAATGACGGATTTTTGAGTAATAAGAATCTCGTTATAAGTTAAACTTGGATCACAAATTCGCATCATCTATCCATCCATCGCCCTAAATCTAAATCTCTCCCTCTTTACAGACAACAAGAGATGATGAGTGATTACTTATAGGCTAACTTTGCGAACAAAATCGTGTCGTCATTCTCTCTTCAGAGAAAAAACTATAACACTTTTACTCTCTATTTATCCCGCTACGTGTGCAACCTGGCTTTATACTCTAAACAATGTGGCAGAACAATTGTGACGCACAATTAAGGTCTCCCAGCGTATTCCAATTCTGACCAAATTGGTGTCAATGGATCACAAATTTAATTGACATGAAATTTGCAAAAGACACGATCTCCCAATGTTCATATTTGGCAGGGACATTTGCATACATCCGAAAAGAAGAAAACGCGCAGTAAGTTTGGAAAGTGTAAAATTTGTCAACTTCATTCTTTTACTTTCTCCTCTTCGGATACAAATATCTCCGGCAAACCTGAGCATAATTAGATCTTGTCTTTTACAAAATTTTGTATTAATTAAATTTGTGATCGATTGACACTTATTTGGTTAAAATCTAAGAGCACACGTCGGGAGACCTCCATTACCAGTATTCTACCGCTTTGGTAACAATTTGATAACGACCGAATGGTCCAAATCCATTCATTTCTGATCTTACGGTCACAAATTTTAATTTCATGTTAATACATACGTAATTACCGTTCAATTACAACTCACTACTAACGCCGAAATAAATTCCGAGATGATTTTGTTCCCACATTATTTAGCGTGCATTTATCTACATCATCCATCAAGAAACTGGAGCAGTCACTAGTCACATGCATACCAATCCCTATATTCCACAATGCACTGCAAAACAGCATATTATTGGCATGTCTCAATAAGTTTAAGTTTATCCCAACATACATAGTTTACAGTCTCGTATCGTATCGCATTACTTACTTCACGTCGTCTTTTGTTATTTGTTTGTACACCCTGGTTTAGTTTACCTTTAAACGTGCAGTTTACTAAACGGGATGAGATTGAGATTAGAGATCAGTCACTTTTTTGTTGAGGTGGGATGATAACTAACACCAATTATCTCGATATTTAAAAATAGACCAAATTACCATTAATCAAAAAGTCCGAATTAAATTTTGCACAATAATTGCCCAAGTTTTCAGACGCTTATATAACAACCAAATTAAGAAAGTTTGTCCACCATTCTTCCCAGAAAAAATGGGGTTGTAGGTGGTTATGTATTTTGTTATGTAGGTAACTATTTTTAGAAAATAACGACCTACCAAAATCGAGGAGAAAGCAGAATTGAGGAAAATACAATTATCTTGAGTAGCATTTCTCAGGTGGATGGTTTCCATTTCCGTTACACAAAACCAATCTATTTCCCATTTAGAGTCAAAACCGGGACAATTCATATCGAGAAAATGCATACGAAGGTAGGTGAATTTGTGCAAAATTAAATATAGAATTTCTCCATTTCTCTCTGTTCTATTCGTGGTCTGGATCGCGAATTCTCTGGTGGATTGTGTATACCCGCATTGACGTCAATCATTAGTTGGAGAAGAATCCTGAACGAAATTCAATACGGGCATTGTTCAACCTAAATAATAAAAGGAGATCATATTGGTTGGGTTGGGGTGGAGATGCGAGTAATGAGATTTCTCTCATCCTCCTGTGGCCATACATGCACCAAATATGTCCTTTTGTTCTAAAAACATATTTCATTTCGTGAGGAGGTAGTGGCACTGAGCAGTGGCGGCGGAAGTTGGGGGGACATATGGGGACATTAGCATTGTGGTCTTATTAACATCAAAATACGGGGAATATGGGGAAAATACTTAGGATTTGCTGAATTTCTGGGGAGGAATGTCCCCCTGTCCCCCGCTTCTGCTGCCAATTGTAGTTGATAATTCTGCCTCCGCCTGGCCAGAAATATCCGATTTTGGGCATCATCTTCGCTTCATATTTTGAATGAATGATGCCATTATTCGCCAGGCACGATATGCAATGTTCAATATTCAAGGTCTCTTAATCAACGGGACAGCATTTCCACTTCACTGCATCATTTTCATTCAAGCCTCCAAGGAGAAAGTAACGGTTTTGTCAAATATGTTAATTAGTTCGTAAAGTCATTTGTCTGGGTACGAGACATATTGTCGCTTTTTCCAACTTTCTCCATCTTTTCGTCCTTTGGAAATTAATTAATTAGCCATGTTATGTACGCTCCACATTTTGTTTCCTCTTGGGTTGGGTGCACAAGTATAAAAAATGGTACAAAGCTATTTTTCATGGTCAAATATTTGTTGGTCGGATGGCATTAATTAAAGAGGGCACGTGCACATTATTATGTTGCATGATGTATGTGTACATTGCATGTAACATGAAGGTTTGCATGCGAGGTTTGTTATTGTACATCTTTGCAACATGTTTTAGCCCAAGGTTATTAACAGGTAAACAATTGAACAAGATCAAGTAAGACAGACGAAACTTTCTCCTCGTGCTTTCACTGGATGACAGTAAAGTTAAGAGTTCAAATATAAATAGCGTACATGACATTTGCCATGCACTATTTGTAAATGTAAGTAAAATATGATCAGAATTCTCCATAAATCCTTGTTCTGTTTTATTGTAGCATCGTGTCTCAAATTTTCAGCCTGTTCACCACGAACAAAGAACTTAGAAGCAAAAAAAATATTTTTCTTTTATTCAATATATTGCAAAAGGTACAAGATTATTATAGGTTTGAACATTGTTTAAAGGTTATTGAATACTAAAGAAGAATATTATTGAATAGATTATTGAATTTTCAGTCGATATTGTCGACAATTTTCAGATCTTTTTTTTTATAAGTAATAAATAACTCAGTATTCACATCACGTAAAATTATACATTTTTAGCCCGAACCAGGGCTTATGTAATTGTCATGTCCGTCTGTCTGTCTGTCTGTCTGTCTGTCTGTCCGTCTGTCTTTCGATAACTCTCGAACGAGTTGACCGATTGACTTGAAATTTTCACCATATGCATATTGGACAAAGTTAGGAAACGAGTTCGAAGATGGGCCAAATCGGTCAAGTGGTTGACCGGTGGGGGTCATCAGAGTGGGTGAGGTATTATGCACCAAAATTTCAAAATTGTCGTAGAAAGCTCAAATTTGGCACAGAGGTTGCTAATGGCTCCTAATAGATAAATATGACTTCAGATTAGAAAAATTTTCATCTTGAGGGACCCTAGGGGTGACCCATACTGATTTTTCAAAATCGTCATATCGAGCTGAAATTTGGTAGATAAGTTGCTTATGGGTCTTAACGGAAGAATATGACATGAAATTGGTAAAATTTTTATCTAGAGCGACCCTATGGGGTGACCCATACCGATTTTTAGAAATTAGCATAGAAGGCTGAAATTTGGACCAGAGATGCTTACTGCTTTCTCATGAAATAATATGAAGTTAAATATGACAAAAATTAACCAGAGGGGCTATAGAGGCGACCCCCCACTGGGAAGTAGTCAAGGACAAGGATAGTAAATATTTTTAGAATTTGGAGCCTAGTAGTACGAAAGATTGATGCTAGTTAACCCACAAATTAGTGTAAAATAGTAGCACATAATTTTATAGAAAACTACTGACAAACATGGATGGGTTTACTAATCACTCCTGGTTCGGGCTAAGCAAAGCTGTACTGATAGGTTTTAATAATACTTTCATCGTATATTGCTTGTGTTTTCATTTCGTGGGCCAGAGTTCATTTCGCTATTAATTAGCTCAAAGAGCTCAAGATATCAAAAGTGCAATTACTTCTGCTCCCGGGGACAACAGACAACTCCGTAGTTGTTATATAATTGTACCCTTTCTTTGTCTTTTTCAAAGCAATATGTAGCAAATAAGGTTGAGCAACTGGGATGCGTTCAATATTGATAAGATGAAGGAGGAGGAAAATGTTTTGAAGGTGGAAATAAATGGAAGGACGTGATGAACGTCATCGTCGTCACGTTGACCGAATCTTGTTGTAACACTTCGGAGAACCACTTTCTCCTTGAGTGAAAGTAAACAAGCAAATATTATTATTTTGGATTCTCACTTCCATTCCCTTCCTTTGAAGTGTTCCGTCAAATTGCATGTTTCATTTCAGCCAATTTCGACGTTTTTTCTTATCTAAAATTACAACTTTCAATGTAAAAGACCAACAAATAAAAGATCAAATACGATCATTTTATATTAGTATTTTTTTTATTACAAGTCAAATAATGTGGTAACAAAATTGCCTAGTCTTCTGCGGAGCATAGCTAATTATTTTTCTATAAATAAGCAGAGGTGTCTATTATATTACATATATAATGTAATTGTCGGTTACGTTTATAACCAGAATGTAAAGATATATGACTACAAAATAATTTCTATAAATTTGTCACCAACTGGTTATAAATTTATAAAAATGGCGGTAGAGTCATATATCTTTACTTTCCGGTTATAACCGGATTACGTATTGTAACCACATTAATTACAGTATACGTTTTTTCTTGATTTTCATACCCTCCTCAAAATCGTTACTTACAAATAAAATTGCAACCTTACACATATAAACGCATTTTCAACCTAAAACCCCATCCCTACAATACGAAGGTCATCCCAACTTGATGTCACACACATAATGGAACACTATCTATTCAATTGCACAAGCTTCTCAAGTGAAAAAAAGTTAGCAACGTGAGAAGAAAGGTGGGTGGGCTGGCTGGATGTGATGAACGCGTGTCCCTGGAGAAAGTTGGAGAGGTTTTTGGCGAGAAAAACAGTTCCGGGAAAGATTTGCTTACACTTTCACCGTATTTTACTTAGCTACTTTCTCCGTGGGAGTATTTTTCGCGTGTAGGATTGAAGTGTAAATGAAGTGAAGTGCTTGTTGGGATCAACTTCTGTATGTTTGTATCGCGACTCTTGTGTAGGATTCGAGTGGATACAAGCTCTTTCACAATCAAAGTCTTGTTTTCTCTCATCCTGCAACTGGCACGTATTTACTTTCTCTCCACACAAACAGAATTCTCATCATGAAAATGTAACGTCAGAAATTCGAGAATACTTACAACTGCGTAGTTGCTGTATTATTACTCTCATGCAATCATTTTGTTTTTCGGAAAACTATCAGAATTCCGAACAAACCTACTTTTCAAGGTGAAAATGAGCTATTTTTGTGTTCTTTATGGACATCAAATTCACATCAGAAGTTCGGGATCAACAGTTGATTCCCGTGTGTTGAGGGTGGACACTAAACTTCAAAATTTGAAGTTTAATAATATTAATCTAATTTAATTAGATTGCAATCCAGCGACTTATCAGATCACACTATCGGAACCATTATAAATCTTCAATTAAATTAAGCTAACTTAAAGTTTTTATATTTTCCAAAAGATAAATTAGACCTAAATTTTCATAATTTTGGATTATTCAAAGACATATAAATTATTGTAACGGCATAAATAACTCTCAAAATTTGTAAGTTTAACTTTCTTTGACTTTTTCAACTCTTATACGTATCTGCATTTCATACTATTATTTTAATAATTATAGGATGATCATAATATCGCAAATTAACGCATCTCATCTTTTACAGTAAAAATATAATCAATCGTATTATGTCAAAAAACCAAGATGCCAAGAACCTTTTGAAACCCTGGTCATGCAAATTTATTCTTCATTTTTTCCACAATTTTACATACATTGTTCACGAACTAATAATACAAATATTTTGATCCAACTATCAAAAATATATCGACAACAATTTCCCCATTCACGTTTAAGGTAGTCCACAACTACACACTTCCAATAAATATTTACACCAATCTTGTCACTCATCAGGCATCATCATCATCTCGCTTGTTAGTAAATTCTGACCCACATTTCCACCCAGAGTTTAAAGACCTTTCCCAACCTAAAAATGCCACGAGGAGGAGGACCTGACTAACTAACCACTTATCTTTGTAACTCTGCTTGAGTTACTGTCATCCATGCACATTTGCGACGTTTAACGACACAAGAAAATGGTGGGGGGTGGACGTGGAGTTTCTGAAACGACATCTGATTCCATATGCCAACTTTTATTTTATTTCACTCCTCCACATTTTACGACATTTAGGGTTGACTTAGGTCACAAAACGGCAGGTGATTTCTAAATATTTTGCAAACTTGGGCCGCAGGGGGTTATCTGTGTTGAGCAAGTCTCTCCTTCCTCCTGGCATGATAATCACCATTCGTTAATAAATTTAAAATAACCGTGCAAAACAATCCACTTTTGTTTAGTTTAGGATTCTACTAAGCGACAAAAAACAAACGCCTCGTGACCCAAATCTCTGTGAGTCTGCGAGATGACAGGAGGCAGATTTTTTTTAGGAGAGACGCATTTTTTTGCACCCACCTGGACATTATGATATACTTACTAGCCAAATATCTGTACTGCTTGTCAGCCTTGTTTGCTACTTATTGGCGTATCCTCCCTCGTTACTCTAAATATTTACTGGGGAGGTTATTATCTTTACGGAGGATTAGTGAGGATGAGTAGCTTGATGTAGTACGGGACCATGTGCATGAAATTGTGGTAATTTCACTTCGTATGAAATACAAGTAAATTCTTGGGAGAAATGCACAAAACTTGAGAAATGAAGAATACGTTTTAGCATAAAACTCGTTAATTTGCGGAGAAAATTACGGTACTATTCTAAATAATATGTTTACGGCCAGGAATTTTGCGTGGAATAAAAGCGTAATTTTCCATAAATTCAGGAAATATAAGTATCTACTTATTGCACAAAAAAATTCCACGTGTATATTCCCATACACACACACATATCCATGTGCTTCCTATTTCTACTTCAAAGAAAAAAATATTTATTTACTAGATTTTTGTGATGTAAATACATAAATGTCTGAACGAAAATAAATATAATTTTGAAAGATTTATTCACATACGCATAAACCACACTTTACTAAAGATACGACAAATCCACCTAACTATTGCAAACTTTGTTTACAACACTCCCCAAAATGGTATCAAGCCTTGCCCAATCCGTTTTAAAGACACGATCCGAGTATTGGCCAGCAATATTGAGAAGTTCTTGGTCTGCAGAATCAGGCATAGAAACACCGATGGCGTAAGTTCGTATCCCAACTAAATTAGCGAGGTCTGCAATGTGCTTCGTTGTTGATGGGGAAGCAGAGACGCCATTCGTAAGAACCACCATGTGCATCGGGTTTCCACTGGAATACGTTTCCAATTGTAGTTTAGCTGCTAACATGCCCTCCGCAGTATTTCGAGTGGAATGACCTTCGTACGCGGCGGATAAAATGTCGCTCACAATTTCTTCGGGACTGTCAGAATTGTGCAAGTGCACTCTCACGTGATAGATAAGAGCATACGTAAGGAAGCCAAGCTTGCTGGTGGACAAACCGGTGAACGCTCGAGATAAATCTGCTGCAAATTGTTTGCCAAGTTGGAAATTAGCAGAGCCTACGTGTGATGATGATTCGAGTACGATAAAGAGCGCTTTCCGGGCGTTGCATTCATTCACAGGGGGTGGTGTGGTTGTGGGTGTAGTGGTCGTAGGTGTAGTGGTTGTAACTGTGGGTTGTGGACTTGTGGGAGTACCAGAGTCTTCGACCTAAATTAATGAAATGGTGACATATACATAGTGTTGATAATCCGGGATTATCAGATCCGACCGGGTTTTCCAACCCGATCCGACAGGATTATCCGGCCGTTTACACAACATGGATCCAAATATGCGGATCGGATCCATGTTATAGTAAACGGACGGATACAAAAATCCGATCGATCAACATTAGTCATTTATTTACTTAAAACAAATTTGTGAAACAAAAATATCCGCATATTCTCGAAACAACTTTTTAACATTATCTTAAATTGGTTAGTGTTTAAAATTGCATAAAATTCGCTACACTTGAGGTCTACCTCGATTTACTATTTGCAATTTGACTATATAAAATAAAATAAAATAAAATAAATAAAACAACGTCAAAATCCAGCAAATTTAAATGCAAATATATTTCTTAAACTTGTCAAGTCAGTCAAGTTTCACTTGCTGAAAATAGCAATATTACGTATAAGAAATATCATAATTTAGCACCTTCACACTTTTAGTAGCAAACCTTACCTCACAAATATACCGCATTGACATCGTGTCATCTTCACTCTCCCAGAATACTGCAGCCAGGCTTTGAAAATTTAACGCTACCCTTTGCTTGACCATATCAGAATCCGGCTGACCTACCCCCCATTTTGTAAAATCATCAAAATTCGCTTCCAAGTTTCCCGTCCATCTCCATCCACCTAACCCGTCAGCAGCACCACTGGTCCAATACTTGCCAGCAATTGGGATGATCTGCCAGCCAGCCGGAAATGAAATCGCTTTCCTCTGCCGTCTCAATCGTGAGGAGGGAAACATTTCGAAGGGGGAACAAAATAGCGCAATCCTGCAGCGCCGTACCCCAAACGGTTGATATCCCACTCGCGTAGTAATCGGTGGCAGAAAAGTTTGTGGTTTGGTAGCGCCCAAGAAATGTTAAGTTGTGTGCAAGACTGCATTGCGTTAGGAGTAAAGTTAACAGAATTTTGAATGCAAAAGTTGGTTTGAATAAGGCGAAGTCCATGTCGATGTACGAATATTCATAGGGTAAAGTTAGTTTGAGGAATGATAACGTTTTCAGCTGGCATTATAGTCATTTCTTGTGCTTGATTTGTAAATCCTTGAAAAAGATATGGTCCGAAATTCGTTGAAATTTTGTAGGAAAGATAAGTCAAGTAGGGTTATCAAGTGATTTTTGACGAACAGGTTCAGATATGCGAAACTATGTCACAATGTCAAAGTCAAGTCTACTAAATTGCATTTAAATAAACGATTGAGATAATGGATCATCATTAATTGTTGATCATTTAATGAAATTACGTATGTAAATATGTCCTTGGTAAGTTTGATAAACTGTGGTTTGGTGTTCCTTGCAGTCAGTTGCAGTTTCATAATGGTAGCAACGTCACTTTCATGGAGATTACGTGTTTACCTGCATTAAAATGGACAATATCTGCTTTTAATGATTTGATATTTCTATTATTTAATAATAATCCGAGTAACTGCATTTTTATATCGATTGTATTTTGTGTTTTAAACACATACTAGCAGATTTAAATTAATTCCAAAAAAAGTTATGACAATTTGAATGAAACTATTTTAAAAAGCTAAAATCAAAATATAAATTTATTAGATTTTGACGTTGTTTTACTTATTTTATTTTATTTTATATGGTCAACTAGTAAATCTAGATGTATTACTGTTTCTAATTTAAGCGTATTTTGTGCAATTTTAAACACTGCCATTTTTGCAAAAAAATTATATTTTGACAATTTAAGTGAAATTGGCAAGTTTATTCTAAAAAATATATTTACATTTTATTTTGCCAGATTTTGGCGTTGTTTTACTTATTTTATTTTATTTTACATAGTCAATTATTAAATCCAGATCCATCTATTCCCCAAGTTCTGGGTATTTTGTGCAATTTTAAACACTGCCATGTTTAAACCAATGCCAAAAAGTTGTATTTTGACAATTTGATATTATGCAAGAAAAAAACCCGTTATCTTTCCCAGCATGACAAAGACCACATTAAATATTATGCTAGTTAGGACAGCACCCAGGACAAATATTACATAAACGATTTACTTCTCGAGTGATTGGCAGTCATATTGGGACAACTTTTACTACCGGGCTGGCATTCAGTCAAAAAGAAGATACTGCACGAATGAATGAGAGATGTATGAGCTACACGATTTTTTACCCCCGTCTGACCGGCGGACTTACCTACCTGAACGTTTTTTATTTTCGATTCAACACTAATTAAACCGACTTCCGCCTTTCTCCCCCTAATTCCGTCGTGATTGATTTATGCGACAACTAATTACATGGAAAAAGTGACAGTTTGAATGCAAAATAAAAAAGTTATAGTTGTCAGTAAAAAATCTAAAATATACGCCGTTCTGCTCCAGTTCTGTCAAATATATTTGTTATGGGTTTATCCACCTCTTCGGCTGAGTAGAAAGGGGACAAAATCCTAAAAAAGTTCGTATGTAGTTGCACAAATATATGTAATAGCAAATATTTATAATGCAAATTGTTTACACGTGAATATTTGCCAAATTGGTAATTTGGTAAAAAACTAGTTTCTGCAGAGAAAGGGGACAAAATAGAAAAGTTGGAGTAGGTGCACAAATATAATGTAAATTATTTGCAAGCGAATATTTGCAAAATTGGTAAAAGACCAGCTCCTACTATGAATCAAGATAAATATAACTTTGTCATTTTAGCAGAATTTTAGCTGTTTTTAGAAAGTTTCCCATTTCCAGGAAGGAATTGCACAATTTTGCACAAAATTAAAAGGAAATGAAGGCCAGGTGTGGTTTTGTTTATTTGCTTTCTCTCTCTCTATATATATCTCTAATATCGATGAGAATTGAGGTAAATTGAGCCACCAAAGGTCTATAATTATAACAAACACCACATCTATTTGATCGATCTTTTCTTAATTATTTCTATTTTCGACATTTCCACTCAATAATACACCACAAGACTGGACACTGAATAGGTATATAAATAAATACTTGTGGAACTGCGTCGAAACTAACTCGGTCTATTCATTGGTTTCCTTTTATTCTGTATTTCTATTTCTGTCCTGAAATCAATTATAGTTGTATTTAATCCCAACTGCATAATGAAACTGCTCCGACGAAGTTGCGTAGGCGTGGGCGGATTTGTTATTTTGCCCAAGATCTGAATTTGACTTGTATAATGAGCGAATAATAAATTTGAAGTTAAACAAAACAACAAGTTCAGAAATCATTCATCCTCAGAAACGTGGATCGATACTGATTTATTTTGCATATTTTTGCTCATCATCATTATTTCCTTCACTTCCGATTGGACCGAGTTATGTAAAATGTTTGCGAAACAGAGTTTTTTGGGGATTTCTGGTGGATAAGGAAATTGCGAAAAAAAGTTGCTCAAGGATCGAAAAGTTGTGTATCCTTCGATTTTATGAACGTGTACGCTGTCACGATCGCATAATTTTGTTGTGATTTTGTGAATCCCTGCTGCGAAGTGGTCCACTTTTTACACACTTTTCTACAAAGTTATGCTCAAAATGAGTGTGTTACAGCCACAACAGAAGAAAAAGTTTGTTTGTTTTTGTGAGATTCTCGATTTCTCGTGTTTTCGAGATTTTATGACTCCATATTTTCCGAGTAATGAGGGAGGAGAGACGAAATGGGACTAATATTTGGTTCAAGTGGGGAGACAGATTTATTATTGGGGAATTTGAGACTGGTTTTTGTAGTAGGGGCAGAATTAGAATTTGAGACTGCTTGTGCCTGGGGTTGGTTGAGAATCTGAGAGTTGAGAATTAGTTCTGGGGCAGAATGATAATTTGAGACTGCTTGTATCTGGGGTTGGTTGCGAATCTGAGGCAGAATGAGATTTTGAGACGAATGAAATGTTGAAATACAATAATTTTTGTTGTGTTCAAGGCATGCAAGAATCTCAGTCATTCTCATACAAGATAATTTAATAAATATGCAATTACTTGATTAAAATACTTAATTATAATTATACTTAAGCCTTTCTTATTAAACTTATTCCACAGACGTGGATAAGATTACGTCTCCAGATTTCTGCATCCATTCCTTTAGATTTCTCTCCTTATCGACCTGTTCGTGTGAAAGCGGAGGCGGCGGTGGTGGCTGTGGTGATGAACTTGACAGTGTCAACTTTTCCAGGGAATTTATAATCTTGACGTCTCCCTCGTTTTCTTGTGCATGATCCGCCGTGGTCGAGTCGGTCGAAACGTCACTCGTCCTTCGACTGACGATTTGCCCACTTTTCCTCAGAAGCCAAGCATCCTTCAAATACTTGCGAAGTTCTCTCACTCCAGATCTGAAAATTTCGAAATTTTGAAATTAGGATAAAAATGTGTCTATTTATTTTAAATAACTTTCTTCCTCACCTTTGATATGGTTTCGGTTCACACAACCGCTTGAAAAGTCGGATGAATCGGGGCGTACAGTTTCTCAGAGGTTCGGGAACTTTGAGACTTTTTTTCTTCAGCCAGCCGACATAGCTGCGATACTTGGAATCCTCCCAGGCATCTGCCGCGCCCCATGGGCACTTTCCTTGGAGGAGGTAACACACCAAAATCCCCAACTGCCAACTATCTAGTCCCGTCTCGACGTGGTATTTTTCCTGCGGGAGAAGTTCGCTAAGCTCGGGCGGGTTGAAACTGCTCCTGTTTGAGGACAGTTTTGTCTCCGAGGTCGTAACAACTACGAGCGACCCTTCCATTCGGGTCGCACTAAAATCTGCCAACTTGACCTGGCTCAAATTTCCTTTAAAGGGAAATTAGAAATGCATTATATTTAAGTTAAATTATTAATTAATTAATTTAATTTAATTTAATTACCTTTAAAGACGAGAATGTTATCGGGCGTGACTTGTCCGTGGACGAGATGCAGTTGGTGCATGAACTCGAGCGCGGAGGCAACTTGAGAGCAAACCAGTTTCGTTTTGGTTTCGCCTAATCGGCTCGATTTTGTCGGCATCATTCTGCAAAGAGGGGGAAATAGATTAGTTATTTATACATATTTCTGGTCAAAGTATATTTACACTTTTACGTACCTCCGTCTATTTAGCACGTGTAGGAGTGACCCGTACGGGGCAAATTCTTGGAGGAAGCAGAGTGACCCATTCCACAGGAAGGTGACATTATAACACGTCACGACATTGGGGTGGGGACTGAGCAAATAGGTGAATTCTACTTCACGGTTGAAATCATCAATACTCGTGGAGAGACAGGGTCGAGCTTTAATCACGGCCTGGGGGAGGCAAAGTGAGACAAAATTGTATACAAAATTCTAGCAAAATCATACTCAATTCATACCTTTGCTCTGGTCGCATCCTTCTTCAACGTCGCCAGCACAATTTTACTCGTCGAAAATTCGCCCCCTTCCGACAGCGATTTCACCACGGCGAACTCCTCCTCCACGCAGAGATCTTCTCTCAACAGAGAAATTCCCGTCGACGAGAAAGAATGACCAGACGACGAGGACACGGAGGAGGACGAGGTGGGCGAAGCCGTTGTGGGTGGTACGGACAAAAATCGCCCACTATTTCCACACCCACCAGTGCTGCTGCTTCCATGCGAGGATGACGATCCAGGCGGCGTTCTGGAGTCTTTACTGTGTCGGTGCATCCTTGTGTTTGTCGGTATTCGCATATTCTCAAGGGAAACTTTGTGTTCAAACTGTCTCTTTCAGAAATGTGAGACTTTAGTTTTTATGCACTTTCTCTCAATTATTTTTTGTTAAAATATACGACTTCTTTAAGAAAGAGTTTCTCTTTCATGGTAAAATATTGATTGATCAGTTTAATTCTGAAGCACGAAAAACTTGGTTTATTTGTCCTGCTTTCTCGGGAAATGGAAAGTAGTAGTTCTCGCCTTTTCGAAGTCTGCCAGACAACTGAGCCGAGTTGGAGTTGGTCACGTTTGTTTAATAGTGAAATCCATGCACATTTCTCGTTATCATTGGCATCATCACCTCATCCACTCCGATTCTCTCTCTTGAAACTAACAACTCATTCAGCCTGGCAATTAGAGCAGTGTTCGGGAAAATGAGACGTTTTTTTATTTCTAAATAAACCCACTTTCTTTCCCAGTTTTTTTTCATGTACTAAAAAAAACAGCTTTCACTTCGTGTACCACTTGCACATGAAACGGGACGCATCTGGGTTTAATTTTGTGGGTAATAATAAAATGACAAGGGTTTTCGATTACATTTTTCAAAGTTGAAAACACTCCTTTTCTTAAAGTCATTTTCGAACCATCCTCATAATTTTGTTGCAAAAATTCATCAATTAAAAATCAACTAAAAAAATCTAAACACAATTTATCAATTTTCAAACTTTATTTGTCGCAATATTGTTATTTACGCCTTCTTCTTATATTGCCACATACCAAAAATAAATAGTTACATTGATTCAATAAGTATTAATAAATATTAACTTAATAACGCTAACTTTGTGAAGATGATGCCATGTTGATATTAGTGTTGAAAACCCCTCATTATTTTCGGCTCTATTCAGCTGTGTACTACTTTTTTCTACTTTTGTGTAACACATTATAGTTAATTGTGTCTGGTTAAAAATAAATATTTAAATAAGCATTCTCATCTCATTTACATAAATACATGAAAAATATTGTTAATTTATGGCACGTATAATCTCTTTCTCTGCATTTAAATAAATAAATAAATATGTATGTAAGGGTGATCAATAAATATAATTTGTAAAGTATTTAAATACTAATTGTTAAATTGTGCTAATTATAATTAATTAATTAATTAACAAGATCTTCATCTACCCCTCAAAATGGTTACATTTGAGATTATTTCTTCTCTCTTGTGATACTAACTTTACTAAAAACTAATTATTTATATAAAAAAATCAAGCTCTTTATCAATTTCATTATCGTGCTGATAACACACGGGGTAACAAAAAACTGGTAATTTTGTGCAACTCCTAATTGCACGATCATCTAAATAAATGGTAACATTGAGTCAGGTACAAAACTATTATTGCTCACAGGTTAAGTTAAAGGAAAGTATAAAAAATTGTAACAAAATAGTCTCACTAAATATTTGACAGGTAAATAGATACATATGTAAAAAAAAAACATGTGAATAAATAATTAAGATGGTGAATGAAGGTGTGTGACATACATACAAATACACGTACGGCTTGGGTGGGTGGATTTGGTACAGAAAAATCGAAGAAGACTTTGATGACAAAACTATGAACTGGTTAATCTTGACGTGATACTGAAGTGAAGAAGTAGCAAATTTCTCGCCTATTGACTGCTTGCCGTACTACTGTCATCCTCATCCTGTAAGGAATAAAATAAAATTTGGAAATTTGGAAATTTTTAAGAAAATAAAATGATTTAGAGTAAATTATTTAGTTAATTTGAGGAATCGTTACGTGACGATGCGCCATTCTGAAGAGCTTTCCTTGCGTCGTGTACACTGTTGAGGCGCCGTCCTTGTCCCCCATCGTGTGACCGTGCGACTAGGAAATAAAAACGAATTTTTTAAATGATTTTCTTGAAGTTCAGGAATTTTGCAAGCTCAATTTTCCATGTTTTTGTGAGCACTAATCTGAAAAGTTACAATTTGTAATTTACAAATTGTAAGATAATAACGTCACTACAAAAAAATCAAATCTGCAATTAAACTTTATAACCAAATAGATACTTCCTTTCTAGTGAGAGATTTATGTATCGATCACATCGATTGAAACTTTTGCAAAAAATTAGTGCTTGTCATAAAGCAATTTTTCTTGGATGTATTTAGTTTTTGCATGGAATGCACTACAATGTAATTAAATCGTTTTTGCATTTCTTATTTTACCCACTTTTACCATTGGACTTTCTCTTACCTCACTGTACGCACAGTACGACGGGGGCTTACAACTGTAACAACTAGCTCGGGACGTGTCCGTTGTATATGTCGTTCCTGGTTTTGCTGCACAACGAATTGTTTCGTCGTACGATCTTACTTCCGACACGGACCTGAGTTTTATGCGTGTAAAGAATACGTTAAAACAAATCAAATCAATGGTAAAATATGTGTCGCATACTTTGTGTAAGCTGAATACGTCGCTTCTGTCGGGTCCAACCCGGTGGTGGAACGTCGCCGCATTCCCCCGATGGCAGACACGGCTTCCCCAGAGGAAACCAATGCTCCTAGTACACGAAAAAATTACAAAATTATGAAAAAATTTGTTCCCCAAATTTTATGTTGCATACCTTGTGAGATTTTCCGTTGCTCTTGCAACGACAGTTTGCGCAAGTGGTGCTCATTCTGTAGCAGCAAAAGGTTATTGTTCTTGCTCTGTGAGTGGGAAAAGTTTACAAGTTTTTAGATACAATTTGTACATATTTTTGTAATAATTTTATGCATCAAGTACGCGAACCGAATGTGCAGCACAAGCCGCCGTCTGGTCCAAATAATTGATGAGTTTCTTTTCCGTAGAGGAGGCCAAGTCGGGAAGATTGTGGTCGGACGTGTTCAACGCGTGGGTGGACGGGGGTCTCGATGGTGTCTTAATTTTTGCCCTTGGAATGACCACGGCCATCCCGCGGTCGCTGTCCATGACGACATTCCGGAGAGAAAAGTTGATCAGGTTGACGTCTGAGGTGGAGTGGTGGCGAGATGAGGAGTGATGTCCTCCTTGGTGGGGTGGTTGAGGTAACGGAATTCCTGATACTTTGGGATCCACGTCGATCTAGAAAATGAAGAAATGTGTATTGGTCAATTATTTAGTTAATTATGCATTTGTAAATTAAGTATTAATTTTTTTACGAGTAATGAATCCGGTGTGAACGAGTGTGTAATGATATTGTGTGGACTTTGGCGTCCACCATCACTGCTCGCCGAGTCATTCATGATGGCCATCATCTGGAATAAGTTGAAATTTATTTTAGGAGAGAGCGAATTGTTACTGGAACGTTTTAGCGAGCGTGTAAGTAGAGAGAGCACGTTGCGTGTCCGAAGCACATAGGAAAGCAGTCGCTCGCTCATTCTCACACTCTCCACTCACTCGATAAAATTATTAAAAACAAATCATTTTCCCTTATAAATCTGAATTTTTAAGAGAATAGTTATGGAGGAATTAAGTAATCCTAAGGACAAAGAGTTGGATAATTATACGACGGAGGATTTAACGAAAATCATGGAGTGTGCCGTCGGCAGAAAGGATTACGTTTTAGTGGGAAAAATTAGTGTAATTTTGGTGGAGAGGTCGACTCCACCTCAAGGTCCTTCTGTCAGCAAAGTACCACGTCTTGAGATAGTTGTCGTGGCAGAAAATAAATCAGGTAAGCCAACGGCTTCATTTGTTTATTAAATGATTATGTACTTAATTATGTTTATTTAGTTAGTGCACAAGTGCCAGCCATCCTGACCTCCCTATTCAAGTGGGACTTGACCCCGATTGTCGTCACGCCTCTTCCACCACCACCAACAGCTGGCGGGTGTATTTGCCACGGATGGGTTCGACCAGCAGACGCCACATTGGGGAGCATCATCCACAAGGCGGTGAAGAAAGCCGTCGGCTGGATTGAGGAAAAGGATGGATGTGAAAGCCAGATCAAGATGTCGGAAAAATATATGAAATGGAGAAAACAGAACGATCAGAAGGCTAAACCGGGCCCGAAGAAATCCTGCCGTCTTATTACATTCCAAGGGAAAACGAAGTCGCTGTATTTTACGGATGGGAGATTAAGAATTAAAACTGGGACGAGGGGGACAAATACTCAACTTTGTTCATGGGCTAATTGCTGGGAAGTAAAACAACGCAATTGTGCAGACCACCAGCAAAATATGTGGCGTATAACGGCCGTCGGCCTCTTCCAGAACGTTGAGGATGAAGATAATGAAAACGTGGATGTAATGGGGGTGGTGCAGCCAACGGTTCATTCAATGAATCGTTACAATACCATTTGTACCACCTGGGTAGACAAACGTACCGTTTTCAAGAGAATCTTGGAAAAGCACAGTTTAGACATCACCAACGTCGAAATACTTCATCGATTTGAAGAGCTCGCCAACGGCGCCTACGATGACCGTCTCCGCCATACACTGAAGGTGGGTTTTGTATTAGTTTGTGTCAAATCCAAGTTAGAAGTACAAGGTTAATGTTGAAGTATATATATATGTATATTCTCTAATTACAGCTTGGAATCGACCTGCTTACTTTCTTCCGAAACCTAAACCTTGCCGACGGCAGCAACTACACCGTCGTGCCTTTCGATAATCAACTTATTAGGTCGGCGTCGCTCTCTCACGTCTTGGAATTTCTTTCGAATAATGGCATCCAAGTCGGCCAAGGAGACACGGTTTTAAACAAAATCCCCCCCTTCTCTGACAATGAACCTCTCGATTTGGTGGGACTACCCCTTCCCCATTGATTTGAAAATTGCGGTAATGAGTGAATTAAGTGAGGAAGATGAGAAGGAAACTCATTGAATTTTGAAAAGCCAATTGAACCAAGAATGAGAAAAAAGTTGCGAGCTGGCCGGAATCGAACCTGCAACCTTTCGTTCTGATCACTACCGGGTTACCACTTTCCCCACAAAGCCCTGTGAATGGCTGATGCTTAATTCTCACACTTGGCTGATGCGTATTTTTTAAGACGGGAGGGATATTTCATCCTCTTCACCCCGTCTCAAAGCATCGAATCGTAAATTTGGAAAGGAGAACCGCTGAAGTATATTGTAAACATTGATTTGAAAATTGCGGTAATGAGTGAATTAAGTGAGGAAGATGAGAAGGAAACTCATTGAATTTTGAAAAGCCAATTGAACCAAGAATGAGAAAAAAGTTGCGAGCTGGCCGGAATTGAACCGGCAACCGGCAGCCAAGTGTGAGAATTAAGCATCAGCCATTCACAGGGCTTTGTGGGGAAAGTGGTAACCCGGTAGTGATCAGAACGAAAGGTTGCCGGTTCAATTCCGGCCAGCTCGCAACTTTTTTCTCATTCTTGGTTCAATTGGCTTTTCAAAATTCAATGAGTTTCCTTCTCATCTTCCTCACTTAATTCACTCATTACCGCAATTTTCAAATCAATGTTTACAATATACTTCAGCGGTTCTCCTTTCCAAATTTACGATTCGATGCTTTGAGACGGGGTGAAGAGGATGAAATATCCCTCCCGTCTTAAAAAATACGCATCAGCCAAGTGTGAGAATTAAGCATCAGCCATTCACAGGGCTTTGTGGGGAAAGTGGTAACCCGGTAGTGATCAGAACGAAAGGTTGCCGGTTCGATTCCGGCCAGCTCGCAACTTTTTTCTCATTCTTGGTTCAATTGGCTTTTCAAAATTCAATGAGTTTCCTTCTCATCTTCCTCACTTAATTCACTCATTACCGCAATTTTCAAATCAATGTTTACAATATACTTCAGCGGTTCTCCTTTCCAAATTTACGATTCGATGCTTTGAGACGGGGTGAAGAGGATGAAATATCCCTCCCGTCTTAAAAAATACGCATCAGCCAAGTGTGAGAATTAAGCATCAGCCATTCACAGGGCTTTGTGGGGAAAGTGGTAACCCGGTAGTGATCAGAACGAAAGGTTGCCGGTTCGATTCCGGCCAGCTCGCAACTTTTTTCTCATTCTTGGTTCAATTGGCTTTTCAAAATTCAATGAGTTTCCTTCTCATCTTCCTCACTTAATTCACTCATTACCGCAATTTTCAAATCAATGTTTACAATATACTTCAGCGGTTCTCCTTTCCAAATTTACGATTCGATGCTTTGAGACGGGGTGAAGAGGATGAAATATCCCTCCCGTCTTAAAAAATACGCATCAGCCAAGTGTGAGAATTAAGCATCAGCCATTCACAGGGCTTTGTGGGGAAAGTGGTAACCCGGTAGTGATCAGAACGAAAGGTTGCCGGTTCGATTCCGGCCAGCTCGCAACTTTTTTCTCATTCTTGGTTCAATTGGCTTTTCAAAATTCAATGAGTTTCCTTCTCATCTTCCTCACTTAATTCACTCATTACCGCAATTTTCAAATCAATGTTTACAATATACTTCAGCGGTTCTCCTTTCCAAATTTACGATTCGATGCTTTGAGACGGGGTGAAGAGGATGAAATATCCCTCCCGTCTTAAAAAATACGCATCAGCCAAGTGTGAGAATTAAGCATCAGCCATTCACAGGGCTTTGTGGGGAAAGTGGTAACCCGGTAGTGATCAGAACGAAAGGTTGCCGGTTCGATTCCGGCCAGCTCGCAACTTTTTTCTCATTCTTGGTTCAATTGGCTTTTCAAAATTCAATGAGTTTCCTTCTCATCTTCCTCACTTAATTCACTCATTACCGCAATTTTCAAATCAATGTTTACAATATACTTCAGCGGTTCTCCTTTCCAAATTTACGATTCGATGCTTTGAGACGGGGTGAAGAGGATGAAATATCCCTCCCGTCTTAAAAAATACGCATCAGCCAAGTGTGAGAATTAAGCATCAGCCATTCACAGGGCTTTGTGGGGAAAGTGGTAACCCGGTAGTGATCAGAACGAAAGGTTGCCGGTTCGATTCCGGCCAGCTCGCAACTTTTTTCTCATTCTTGGTTCAATTGGCTTTTCAAAATTCAATGAGTTTCCTTCTCATCTTCCTCACTTAATTCACTCATTACCGCAATTTTCAAATCAATGTTTACAATATACTTCAGCGGTTCTCCTTTCCAAATTTACGATTCGATGCTTTGAGACGGGGTGAAGAGGATGAAATATCCCTCCCGTCTTAAAAAATACGCATCAGCCAAGTGTGAGAATTAAGCATCAGCCATTCACAGGGCTTTGTGGGGAAAGTGGTAACCCGGTAGTGATCAGAACGAAAGGTTGCCGGTTCGATTCCGGCCAGCTCGCAACTTTTTTCTCATTCTTGGTTCAATTGGCTTTTCAAAATTCAATGAGTTTCCTTCTCATCTACCCCTTCCCCATGTCTATTTATCACCAGGGGCACCAGGTCATCTCTACGCAGGAATAAACGAATCCCTCGCTGATGCCATCGACAACTTGAAACCAGGCGCTAAACAGAAAATAATTTCAAGATCTCATACACCTACAACAACTGCAGTTATCAGGAGTGCCGTCGGCAACATAAGTAGCGATCGGGACGGGATCGTTATATGGCGACCAAATCCCAGTAAAGAAGAGAGAAACGTCCTCAGCACAATCTCCTCTCATTTGGATTTGTCTCCTATTCAGGATGCCACGTGGAAAAAGATGGTCAAAATTACTGCAAAGAAGGAGTCTGTCCTCCATAAAGTGTTGTTCGTCCTAGAGATGATAGAAGCAAGGACAGTCGACGGCCATTTAGTTCGTGTTGAGAATCGAGCCTCTGCTATCGTTGACAAATATGATGGGGAAGACGATTTATTTTTCAAGGAATGTGCTGAATTCATAACGGGATTGCAATTCACAAAGAATGTGACCCAAGTTGCCGACGGCCATAAATGGAACCACGTTCTGAATTGGTCATCAATAGCTGGGATGGCAAACACTACCGTAGTTGAATACTGAACAGGTGAATGAAGTAATATCAAAAAATAATAACTAACAAAGTATTAATCCATGTTTACTTTGTTTTTTAGCCGACGGCATAGATTGAACACTGGAATTGACAACGGACTTTTCATAGGAATGGGATTTTCAACCTGGACTAATTTGTTATTTTTAGCTGTAGAGATAATTAACTCCAGCATAAGTATTGCATAATAAATATTTGTGGCTTATTTCTTTATGATTTTAGACATTACTTCAACGTAAATGCTGCGTTAATGATTTGTTTAGTTAATTATTTCATATCTATTAAATTGGAAAATGGCACTTACATCCCCACCACTACCTTGTTCCAGAGTGGTTTGCGAGTTGGGTGAGCGATACCGCATGAATCGTCCGCCTAAGGAAATAGTCAAACAAATTTCAGTCAGCTTTCACCACTTTCACCGGTTTATTTTTTGCGTGGCATGTTTACTTCCTGTCCTTTCTGGTCGCCTCGATCTTTCCCGTCCTGAACCGACGCCACCACTATTTCCGCCCCGTTTACACAGTAAAGTTCCACACAACATGACCAAGATGAAAAGAACGGATCCGATTCCGGTAATGGCGATGAGCAAGACTGGTAATTAATTAATTATGATAATTTATCATTAGTGCACAATTAACTATATGTATATATTCTACTTAGTAGTAAATGCACTTACATTTCAGATTGATTTGACATGTCGTTCCACCATACCATTTGAAACAGTTGCACGTTCTATTCCCTGTGGTTGGCTCTCTATGACACGTTCCTCTAAAGTTGCACTCGCCGCAGCCGGAAGTTTCTGCGCAATAATATTAATAATGATAAGGTCACATCACAGGTCAAAAGGTCATACCAATTAATATGCCAATCTATATACCTTGACAATCACGTCCCGGCTTCCTCTTCGACGACTTGTCCTTATACCCAAGTTTACACTTGCAGGAAAATGATCCTCTGATATTCACACACTCGGCACTCTCGGAACAGTCATTGTACTCTAGATTTTCACACTCGTTAAAATCTCGAGCAGCAAAATCATTGAAATCCCTCGTCGACATGACGCCCGTCCTCCCGATGGAAAAATTCGACGTTCGCAACGTTCTAATTAAATGATTCTTGATCCGATCTTCGGTAATGTTGGTGGTCAACTGGACAAGGAAGTCGACATTGACCTTCGGCTCGGACTTGTTTGCGGGTCGAATCGGGTCAATCGAGATGACCTCACTTCCCTGAAATTGTCGTTTTATATCCGTCGCTAAAAACGCCTTGTCAATGGCTTCCTTCGTAATCGTGATGAAATTCAGGTAACCGTCGCTCGCCGCGTTGTACAAGTCTTTAAAGTCGAACAACATTCCGTCCATGTGATTTATGCCGAGACGCATTTCGTAGGTGAAAGTTGCTGGAATGAGTGAATAAATTATGCAAATTAATCAATGTGCGAATTTTATGCTAATTTTCTACACTTACGTCGACACGGGTATTTCGATTTCATCCGGGCATAACCCGGTTTACAGTCACATCTCGATCTCGTCGCATTCGCGTACGTACGACAGGCCAGATTTTGATTCGCGTTTGCCGTGCAGTTTGCAAAACAGGGTAAATTTTCGGAGAAAGCAGTCTCCGAAATTTCCGGTGTTCTTGCCGTCGTCGGAGTCGGTCTGAGTTTTCCTTTCGTCACAAGTCCGCTCAGATTTACTCTCTCCGTTGATGATGTGGCTCGATCACGATCACCGGAAGGAGAAGGAGCCGAAGATTCCGACGTGTCGAAGAAAGTTGTCGCCACGGGGAGTCGAGTCGGCTCCGAAAATACCGTCGTCTTCACGATGGTAGGCTGAATGTCGAGCGTGTTGACGAGCGTGACGCTCCCAGCAATTGTCGAGATGAGCGTTTGGGGCGGAATTGTCTTCGTAATTAGGATCGTTTCAGTTTGGACGTGTCCATTCCGGGTGAAAGATGACGTCTCGGTCGTGGTCAGAGTAACCGTGACGGACTCAGAACGAGTGACGTAACGGACGGTGACATTTTCGTTGAATTCATTAAGGTTAGGTTTCACTAAAAATTTTATGAAATTTCAATTTTATGAAATTGTAAGGAATTTGAGAAAACAAAAATCTCACTCACCTGGACCAGACACCTTCCATCTCGGTCCACCACCTCCTCTCGTCGGGACCGTGCTGGTAATGCGGGTCGTCGGGTTGATACTTTCCGAGACTTGTGTGACTACAGAGACGGTGGCGTTGTCTCGATTTCCGAGTGGCGTTGGGGTAACTTCCTCTTCGTAGGAGTACTCTTCATATTCGTCACTTCCGCTGGTCGAGGATCCGCCCCCAGTTCGAATTGAGGGTGGTGGATGGGTCACATTTTGAAAGATGGACGCTTTTCCTGTCGTTCCTTTTGGCGATGTGGTGGTCGACACTCGCTGCGTCGTTGTTGGAACGAAACGAGAAATCAGCGTCGTGGTGACGCGACTCCCACCACTCTTATTTTCTTCGGACGAAACTACTCCTCCACTATTTCCACCACGCGACCCTTGACCTGGGGTAGGTCGACGGAGGAAGGGTGGCAGAATTGAGGTCGATGGCCGCTTCGATTCTGGAGAGGACGATGATGATGAAGAATTTGACATTGATGTGGACACAAGTACAGTCATGGAAGTGGAAGTGGGACGCTTATTTCCGGATGTGGTGGTGGTCGTATTGGACTCTCCGGAAGAAGCTGGATTTTTAACTGTGGTGGTGGTAGAACTAGTTTGCGGTCGTCTCGCCCAAGGGACAATGTTCGGTCCGGGCCCTCTCGTGGGGATGAAGGGTCGACGAATTACGGGTTTTGTAGTGGTGGACGAAGCCAATGGTAATTTTGTGGTGGTTGTAAATCTGAGAATTTGAGTGAGTTGAGGTCTCCTCGTGATTCCGGTGGAAGACGAAGCGTTATTGGAAACTGTACTGGTCATCGTGGTAGTTGTCGTGGAGGTGGTGGTACCTCGAGTATGCGCGGGTGGTGGTGATTGTGTCACGTTTTTAGGGGTCGAAGGTCCCCTCGTTTTCTGGGGCGTTGTTATTGATCGTGTAGGACTGATGACAGGTTTCGTAGTCGTCGTTGTCACAGTCTCCTCGTAATAGTCGTCCTCATCTTCATTACTGTTCTCTGCAGGCAAAGATATCACCGATGTTTGCAACCTGCCCCCAGTATATTTGACGACAGGGGTGACCCCTGCCTCGACAGGGTTTGAGACTGGTGGCACAACCACGGTGATTTCCGACCCTTCCAAATTGTCATTTCCCTCATCATCGTCGTCGTCATCGTCATAGCTTTCTGGTAAATTGTTTCCACTGACTGATTGTGTGACCTCATTAGCGGTATCGCTCTTCGTCGGAATAATTGCTGTGAACGTGTTCGTCCCGACAATTTTGTTGAAATCGTCCACGCTTGCGATGGTGTGGACAATCGGCGGGGTGGGAGAGGCTGGTGGCGACTTATTTTTAAACAAGTCATCATCCGGTCGAAGTAGATTTGGTCGATTGTCACCTCCGCTTCCACCCCCACCATCCCTTTCGTTATTTGGTCGGTACCTTATCGGTCCGCTGCTTGGTAACTCGAGAATGGGCGGTTTCAATCGGTTGCTGTCAATCGGTGGAGGTTCCATCTCCGTTTTTGGCACGTTCGGTTGTTGCTGAGAGAATTGGTGGATAATATTGTTGCTCAAGTGGCCATTTCCGTTATTTTGTTGGAAGATGCGTAACCCTGTCCCGGGTATGGGTTTGTTGTTATTATTGTTCTTTAACAGGACGGGTGGGAAGCGGTTCGTTCCCGGCGGTGGGGCTGGGACAAGGACCAAATTGTTCTTGATGTGGGGGTGGTGATGAAGATTATGCATCGGCAGTGGCGGTGGTGGTGGGGGTCGTTGCTGCTGTTGGAAGTTGTTCTGGTTATTGTTGACCTTGTGACCCGCAATGTGGTGAAATGGTGGCGGTGGTGGTGGTGGCAAAGAAACTACGGCTGCTGACGGGGTTGGTTTCGGTTTCGGGAAGAAGACGATTTTTCCTTGTGGCGTTACTCCGTTGGAAGGTCGCCTTTCGCCGGATGGTGGACCGTTATCGTCACCTTCGCCACTCTTGGCGTCATCGTCATCATCGTAATATTCCTCCTCGTAGATGTAGCTCGATTCTCTGTGACCGTTTCCATTTTGAGGGTCAATCCCATCTTGTTGACCTCCGAGGTGGACTTGGACTTCGGGAGAGGAGCCTTCATTATTTTTGTCATGTTTTCCCGTGGTGGGTCTACTTGACGAGGTCGTGACGACGACGAGGGTCGACTGGTTTTTGACCGGTGGGGGTCGAACGATTTGGATTTTAGTATCCGTCACCGGTTTTGTCGTCATCTTTTCTATTTCGATGCTGATATCTTGCCCGACTTCGGGGGACGCGTTATCTTCAGGAAATTCGGGATATTCCTTAATCTTATCGGCCACTTTGTTCAACTTTTCTCTGATATTCCCAACTTCGCTGCCTCGGTCGAAACCAGCCTCGCCAGAAATCTCTTTTTCATACTCTTGCATCTCTTCCGGTCGGACGAGCGCGATTCCCAGGCCGGGCGACGGTCTCTTAATGTACGTGGGGAGCTTGTGAATCTCCGAATTTTTCATCTTGATCTGCCCCATGCTCTCCTCGTCGTCATAAAAGGACGCCATTCCTCCTTGTGGTGCAGGCCGTTTGTTATTATTCGGATTTAGCGCCAAGAACGGTCTACGACTACTTATTCCATTAGATGCGGCAGGTTGGATGTCATTGTGGTTATGATTATCAGCCGAGGAAGGTCGATAGGTCGTCGGCGTGTCGAAATTTTGACCGATGAGCATCACTCTATTATTATTCTTGGGTCGGAAGGTCGTCGGCCACCACAAGTTCGAGCCGCCCGGCGGGTTCGAGGTGAATTCAATGTGCGCAGGAGGAGTGAATTTCTGTAAGATTTTCTCCTCCTCAGAAACTGATAAGGTTTGATACGTATTTTCTGTCGTGCCTCCTTCCGCACTTTCGCTCGTGGGCTCCGGTGTCGTGGTGGTAGTGGTGGTTGACCTGCGCATGAAGGGGGTCAAGGTCAAATTATTTCGCCTCTGCGTATGACTATTATCCAGTGGTGACTTGATGATTTGCTGATTAACGGGATCAACGACCGTGTCCTTGTCTTCGGTGCCTTGATAGAGTTGACCAAACTCGTCCTCGTCGACATCTTTCAAGTATTTAGTGACATCGATAGGTGGTTTGTGGATGGGGTGGTGGTTCGGATGCAAGACGTCGTCATTGTCAAGGTCAAGATCAGTCCCATTTCCGGCCGTGGAGGAGGCGTGATCTTGATCGCGGTGGTTGTGCAGATTCTGCTGGTACGGGTCGCCATCTTCCTCTTCTTCCGAATAAATTGACACGTTCAACTCTTCGTCTTCTTGTTCCAAACTGGGTTTATCGTGCGCATGCGTTGGATATGAGGACGCTTCCGAGCTTAGCGTTGACGGTTTTCTCACGCCGTATTTCTGCTTAAACTTTTCCTCAAAGTTGATCAGGTCGTTCATCAAGTTTGTGTTGAATATGGGCAGCGATGTTTTTGGTGGACTCGTCGTCGGGTTGGCGGTGGTGCTTTGTGGCGGCGGTGGCTTCGTCTTAATCGACATCCAAGGAGGAAGAACTCTGGTGGAAAATGGGGTCGATGAAGACGGTAAGGCAGGTCTTGCCGTCGTGGTGGTGGTCGTAGTGGTGAATCGACGGATGAACAAGCGCGAAATCAGGGCACGATTTGTCGTGGTAGAGTTATTATTAGTTGGCGATGAGGTAGTTGTTGTGACTTCTCTTGTCGTTGTGGGGGTCGTTGGAGTGGTTGATTTCCACTTGGGAAACGTGTACCCCTTGTTCTGCACATTATTTGTGGGTGAAGTCGAAGTGGTGAAGCGTTCTCGGGAACCACCTCCACTGAAATTTTTGTGGTTATTGAGATTTCCTAAGTTCGGATTTGTTTTATGATTTTTGATAAAATTGGAATCGAAATCGTCATCCTTGTGAAGCTCTTCCTCCACAATGTAGACCGTGGAGGGTGGATTTGGTGGGAGTTGGGGCGGTCGACGCATAATGTGTGGTGGGTCAACGATCCTCTGAATGTTGGTTGGATTAGTGTTCACAACGACATTTTTGTCCTTGACTAGTTCTGGAGCGTCAAATATATTCATCGGACTTGGAAATCGTCCCGGTAATTGACCCGGACCAGGACCGCTGTTTGGCCAAGGGGGCAGTCGAGAGGGTGGGAAATGGTCTTCCAGTGCGGGCGGTGGTGGTGGAGTGGGTCGTATTCTTGTAGTATCTTCATGACTGTGACCTCCTTGATGACCTCCAAAAAGTGGAGGGTCAAAATATTCCTGTCTTGGTGGTTGCGGTGGTTGTGGGAGTGGCGGAGGTCGCCGATTACTATCAAAATTAGGAGGATACACAATAACCTCATTACTTTCTCCGATGGGTTTAAATGGGGGACGATTTTGATGGTCTTCCGGTCTAAAACGTTCCAACTCGTTCCTCGGAGGAAATCCCATGTTGCTATTAAAGTACGATTTAGGAGGGGACTGCTGTCCAAAATTCGGATGTTGTGAATCTTCCCCCATTAATAAGGGAGGTCTGTGAAACGGAGAAATTGGTCGCATCCCAGGCCTCGCCATGAATGCGGGTGGTTCACCATTATTAAAATTATTCGGTCCTTGTGGACGAGGTCGTGTTGATGAATTTGCCATAATTTCGTTGAAATGATCCCTCGTGATGAAACCTTGCTGATTGAAGAATGGTCTTTGATCATCTCCGTGCGAATCGAACGACTCGTGAGACGCGGCCTGTGCCGTGTTTTCATTCTGGTCATTATTATTCTGATTATTAATAATTCTGGGAGGATTTAGTTGACCATCTTTGAACGGATTTTCATTGTAGCGTTCATGCCCCGCCGGAGTTTTCGGGAGCCAGGGCGTTGGCAGCTCGTTATTTGTGACCTCGTCGGAATGGAGGTTCAGTCCGGGGATATTTATGCGCAGTGGACCCTGTGGAGCGGGAGGAAGTCGGTTACCGTAATTATTATTACCGTTCGGTTTATTATGGTTCCTCTGAGGGAGAAATAGCTGTGGCGAATTTGGTGGTGGCGGTGGCGGCGGCTCGTCCAAATTGTACGGAGGAGGTCGACTTATAGTGTCCTTGATTTCATTTATCATTTCGATACTTGCCGGACCAGGGCGTGGTTTGAAAATCGGTTTAATCTGATTACCCGGCGGTATTCTAACAGGACCTGGTTTGTTGACGTAATTATTATTACCTCCACCAGTGGCATGTGTGGGTCGTAAGACGGGCGTAATCCAACCGGGACGCTGGTTATTAGAATTTCCAAATGGTGGTTTCCCATTTATCAAATTATGCAACGGTTTCAAAATAAAGTCAGTTTTCCCTTCTGGATTTTCATCATTATTATTCTCATCATGATGTTGGTGTTGATTATTATTCTCTAAAAACGGTCCGGGCGATGGATCTCCGTGTTTATGCAGACTCGGTTGATTGTCATACTCACCGTTCTCCTGTTCCGTAAAAATATTGGGTTGATTGTCATGCGGTGGGGCAAAATTGTAGTTGTGTTTGGGTGGAAAATCTGGCATTTCGATGCCACCATCGCCACCTCCGGGGTAATGATGATGCACCGGAGGAGGCAACGGACCCGCGACAAAGTCCGGTTCCCTTCCGTTCGCCAAGGGTCGAAAGTTGGGTTCCTGCGCGTGAGTGATAACCGGACGACGGATGATTCCTCCATCGGAAAAACGGTAATTTGAAATCGCCTCGTTCTCATTTTTCAAAGGGATGTAAATGTGTTCTGCATGCTGGGAAATGGGCGCATCGACATTCGGGGGTCGTTGGTAGTACGGCCGGCGCAATCCTTTATCTCCTCCACCAATGGTCGATTTCTTTGGGTTGTGCTTGTAATAATTGTGCATTTTGTTATTGTTCTTATTATTATTATTATTGTTATTATTGTGTTGTGTATCGTTTCGAGAAATTGGAAGAATTGCGCCTTTCATATATCCCGCGACAGAGTTGAACAACGGTCCAAGTTTCGTAGTGCCGAATGCTCCGAGTCCTCCAAGACCGATCGCGCCCAGATTGAGGAGTGGTTTCCAGTTGAACGCGTTCGTTGCTGCCGTCGCGATCGCGGTTCCACCTCCGGCCGCGATGGGGAATGAAATCGCAGACTTGCTAGGACCTGAGAATGTATTCATGTTGTTATTATTGGAGGAGGACGATTGGTGTGGCGGTCTTGGTTGACGGGGACGTTTTTTGGCCGATTTTTTGTTCTTGTTCTTCGTCTCGACAGATTCGGATGAGTTGTCGTCCTCGTCGGAGTTATTATTCTTGTCCTTGGAATCTTGTTTGTCCTGCTGTTCATCAGACTCTTCGGGGGAAGAGAAGGATGGAAATCGAACCGGAGCAAGGGCATAGACATTCGTGGAGGATTCGCCAGAATCGAATTCGTCGGAAAATGGGATGAGAGCCGAGTTGGTGGGATACCGATTTTTGTTCTTGTTCTTCTTTGTGGGACGTTTGCTCGTGGTGTAGCGTGTCGTCGTCTTTTTCTTGTTCTCTGGACGTCCCGTGGAGATGAAGGCGAGTTCTTCGGAGGTAAAAAGCTCGTCAAGTTTTGACGGTCCTGTCGTTTCTTCTTCAGGCGCGAGGAGATCTTCATGTTCGACAAGAGTGGTGGGAAGAATGGTGGCCAACTCGGCTTCTCCGCTTGAATTTTTGTTGCTGACGTCGTCTTCACCGGTGGAAACTGGGGTCGTGATCAAGTCACTGTCGAGGTCATCGTCGTCATCGGCAAGTTCAGTAGAGTTGGTGGAGGTTGTCTCACTTGATGCAAGTACGTCCGTGGTGCTGGTGTCATTACTCTGAGAAGGAGATGGTATCGTGTCCTCGACAATTGTAAGGTCATCGGACGACGGGTCGGCTTCTTCTTCGTCACTGTTTGTCACCTCTTCCGAATCTGCGGGCGTTGTTTCCATCACTGGTTCCTCTTCTTCTGGTACATCGTCACTAATCCCGGGTATTGTCACGTTAACTATTTTTTGACCACCGTAATTCTGAGTCTTGTTGTTCTTCTTGTCCTCCTCCTGCTGATTGAACGCCTCTGTATCAAAGGTGGTCGGAATATTGTAAATTTTTGGCGGCGTGACATTGTCATCGCTTTCTTCCGAGGCATCAGTCATTTCCGAGATTAGGGATAGAATTTCCTTCGTGGGACTAACTATTCCTCCGCCAAACGAGGAGGACGCGCTTATCAGAGTGACGCTCCCCTTCCTCTTGTCTAAGGAAGACGATGACGAAGATTTCGTCACGGCAGGTGGCGTAATGACGACGGGCTCATCGTCTTCATGACCTTCATAATCTGGCGGATAATCCACGATCACCGGTTTCTTTGGCGGGGGCCCAATTTCAGGGAAAAGGTCCAATTCCACGTTCTGGTCCTTGATCGGAATTTTATTCTGAATTATGTACGGTTTCAGTTTCAGCGGCCCCTTGGAGGTAGGTTCACTCCTCTCCGTGGACGTTCTCAAGGGTGGCGTGGGAACATGCGAAACCGGGCGTAGCGTGAGGGCGTCATCTCCATCGTCCAAACTCAACTCGGTGATTGACATTTCTGCAAAATCGTCACTATTCGGCTGCGTCACTTCTTCCTCCTCTTGTAAAAAAGTGTCATCATCCTCTCCAATCACATTTATACTCGCTGTTGGTCTCGGGAGTAAAAAATCATCGATCTCACTTGTCCGACTCGGTTTCAAATTGATATGATTCACTTTTGCGGGGAGTTTTGTGTCCGTGAGGACACTCACGATTTTATGTACGCCTTCCTTCACCTCGTCAAAGTGCTCTTCGGACGATGAAATTACTGGAGTTCTGGTCAACACGGGTTTACTAAAGGGTCGCTGTTGATGATGCTCTACAAAATTTGGTGCAATCCGACTCGGTTCAATTTCAACGGATAAGCGCTCATCGTCCTTCGGCCTAGTGGAATCAGAAATATTAATTTATAAAACAAAGATTTCAAAAATAAAATACTTGAATTTAACATAATTAAATTTACCAGTGGGGGTGGATCACTTGCTGCGTGACTAAAGTAGTCACACCCTCCACTTCTGACGCGTCGATTGTCTTTGTCGGTATAATTTCTTGCACGGAGGACGTCACGTCCAACAAGGTCGAGTGCCTCGACAAGTACGAACTCTTCAGTTTGTTGACATAACTCACGTCAAACGCCGTTTGAAGTGCTTCCGTAACCACGCGAGATACCACTTGCGTCCTGGAATGGATCTTTGCCGGTCCGTTAGTAGAATCCTTGTGACGAACGGTAGTATAATAAGTGTAACTTGTGTAGAAAACTTTGGTCGCATAGAGCAGGACTGGTGTCAGTGTTTTTGTCTGCGCCAAAGTCGTCGTCAATCCGGTCGTTTCTCGGTTTCGGGAAAAAGATGCCTCCGGTTTTACCACGTTGGACTGAACGGAAGTGCTCGTGCGGACCGTGAGGTCGCCTAGCGAGCCAAGTTGCGTCTGGAGATGGGTGAACGTGGTAAAATAAGTGATCCCATTGGTCGCGGTTGGAACCGGAAGTGACGTTCTGACTGGAACCAGTTCTTCCGTGATGATCACTTGTGTCACGGTTTCTCGAGTGGTCACCACTTTTTCGGAGGAGCGGTCCTTCAACGTCTTGGAGAAGGTGTATGTGCTGTAGTGCGTCTCCGTTTCAAAAGTGGGGGTTGACCGGATGGGTTCTGGGTGGCGTTCGGTGGGTAAATAGCCGGGAAGAGTGACCGCGTTGGAAACCGTTTCTCGCGACGTGAGCACCATCGGGAGACCACCGACGGTGAAGGTGTTTTGGTAGATGTAGGTCGTCGTATGGGTGTCCGTGATGTAGGGGAGGTCGCGAGATGCGAGACGAACAAGTCGGGTGGGAGGGTTGTCGTCGAAATCTCCTGGAGCGGAGAGGGCGTCACTTTTATGTGAGATTGGAACCGCTGCGTGATTATGTTGGAGACGACCTGGAGAAAATTTGGAATTTTAGTGGTGACAAGAAATGTGTAACGACTTGAATGGAAATTCGGTAAAATTTTGACCGATAAGGAGAAATATACGATAAGACTCGTTTGGGACTCGTTTGGGAGGTTAATTTCATTTCATTTTTCCATTTTATCAGAACATACATTTTTTAATTGCACAAAGAATCTAATAGCTAGAATTGCTAGTCATTGACGTCGTTTACAAAAATACAGCAGTTGTCGAGTTGTTGGAAAATGAAAATTAGATGCCCTAGCACTTCGGAAGGAAATCGTGAGTTTTGTAAATAAGTAGCTTATGAATTTTGTGCAAAGCTGCAAATATTTATAAATCCACTATTCTTAATTACTTCTCTAATTAAAGTAATCAATGTATAGCATAATTTATATAAAGAAAATAATTTGTGCTTCTGCATGAAATCCGAAATATGGCCGATTTTTTACCCAATATCGAGAACAAAGCTACAAAAAAATATCCACCCACCTCTTCGTGACTCTTAATGATGGTATTCGTCCTCTTAAGTATCGTAGTTTTATACGTGAACGTGGTCAGCATAGTTTTGGTAACGAGATCAGGAGTTGCTGAGCGCACGATGGACTGTAACAATTGTCCTATACCGTTGGCCTGTAATAAGAAGAAAAAGAAAGCCCAATAATGATGACCTCTGACCTTTCACCTTCTCCCAATTTATCCATACTCACCTGTTTGCCAGGGTTATCTTTGAGGTGAAACTGTTTCGACACGGTGTGTCCCGGCAGTGTCACGGGTTTCGACGGAGTGACTTTTTGTGGTAACCACGGGGTCTTTTCGAACCCCACCAGTGCAGTTTTTAAACCTAATTTCATAAAATTTTGACCCATGATGACCTCATAATTTGCATAACTAGCAATAAATGTCTCCCAGCGTATGCTCTAAAATTTTGATCAAAGTAGTGTCAATAAGTCACCAATTTAATTAATACAAAATGTGCAAAAGGCACTATCTGCCAATGCTCCGGTTTGGCAGAGGTATTTGTATCCGAAGAGCAGAAAATGGGTCCTGAAGCTGACAAATTTTACCAAATTTACTGCCGATTTTCTCCTCTTCGGATGCAAATATCTTTGCCCAATGTGAGAATTATATGTGCATCCAATCGATTCAGATTGCATTAGTAAATTTTTTCCAGCCCTTAAGTCATTTCACAAAGTTTAGTAAATTATTTAGAAGACTAAATTTGATTAAGTCACAAAATAATGAAATTGTAAAGGTTGCACGACGAAATTATCATTTTGAAGAAAATGAAAATTTAGATTTGGAACGAAGGTGGTTTAATAAGAGTCAATTTTCTTCCTACTCAAAACTTATAATATGCCCATCAATTTTACGAGTTTTGTCTTAAATGCTATACAATTTGAAAAATAAATATCATTGATTAATGCGAGGACTTCCGTCTTATTAAAAATTGATGAACATGCATTTCATTTCCATACTGAAAGCAAGCAATGAAACTATTCTGCATTGCAAAATTAAATTAATGATTCATTTACACTAATTTGGTCAAAATCTGAGAGAATATGTACGCTGGGAAACCTTAATTGTAAGTGTAATTCCTCACCTCGCACAATGACTTCTACCCCATTCGACATGACTTTGGTCCGGAGGTTTCGAGCATTTTGGATAAACAGCCGACCTCCCGAGACCCTCTGCTCGGTCGCATTTATACTAAGGACTAGTGGCACTTGCTGAACTTGTACCACACTCCCAACCCCTCCACCTGACCGAGTTGGAAGTTATTTTCATAAAATTAGAACAAATTTCAAAACATTTTTATGCAAAAATTTCAATCTCAAATCTCAACCGTAATAATTTCATCCTCCATTTTCTGCAGTATGCAATAAATAATTTAAACAACATTGCCAAAACTTTTTATTTATTACTCAAATGCAAATTATGTAAATTAATGCTCAAAGATTTAACAGAAAATGGGACAGAAGAAGTGGATAGATTTTTTAAGATTTTCAAGAATTACGAAAAAAGAGAAAGAAGTGAAAAGTTCGCGTTGAATGTAATGTAAACGATATTTTTATCCTTTATTATTTGGCACACAAAAACCTTTAACACCACGATAAGAAAAACGATAAGTACATGCTAAATACTTATACATAAAAAATCATCATAATTGTCACGCTAAATAATTATCTAATTATTACTAAACTATAATTAACATTATTTTATACAATCATGGAGAACTTGTATATCAACGCCACGCCGACATTTTATATGCATGTACGTATTATTGCTTATTTATGGCTTTCGAATTCCTAAGAGTTTATAATTAATTAATTGCCTGAAAATGCATAAGTTCAAATTATCAATTTCTTAAAAAAAATGAAATATAAAATTACATAAAGTGTAGAAATTATTATTATTATAAAAGTAAAAAAAATAGTTCATAATTTCTGGGAAAAAATGTACAAGTTTTTATCCTGCACATATTATTATTCGCTGGATTAAGTAGAATTTTAATTAATTTATGCATTAATTAAGCTACAATTTATGCTAAAAAATTACACAAAAATCCACCCACCTCATCGCTTACGTACGTATTGCATGAACTGCATTAATTTGTACAAAAAAAGAATAGTATTTCATTCAAACTTGTATCGTTGTATGTATACGATAACAAATATATAACTTAATTAATTTAGAAATTACTGACACACATTAATATCTATTTTTGTAATTGCACAAAAGTTGTATATTTAACCAAAAAAGTTAACTAATATATATTTGTAGCGTTTCATTAACGCCCAAAAAAATGTAATGATAAAAAAATGACACAAACAGAACAGACGACATGCCAGTAAAGTAAAGTATAAAAAAGCTGACTGAATGATAAGTATCAAGAGTTCATGCAAAAAAATTATGGTCTGAATTCAAGATAAGTATAAGACGACCTATAAGACTCCTCCTGCCCACACACATAAAAAAAAGTCGTCGTAATAAACAAAATTGTCTCTGAAGAAATGTCAATGTCGAAAGAAATTGTCGTCTCGTGTTACAAAATAATTGACGCCATGGAGGAAATCGATTGACCCAAAACGCTCTCCAAACTATCGGTCGGTAAACTGTCACCGTACTCTCGCAAACTCAAAGTCGCCCCACCAAACGGGTCACTGTATGAGTAACTGTCCTCCAAATGGAAAACATTGTCGTCACCCTGCGTCGTCAGACTACCACTAATTTCATTTCCGGTGGTCATGTCGTCCCATATTTTATACAAGCTCTCTGTCGCCTCAACGTCCCTCCTTTTTCTGGACTGTGTTACAGCCACGGTTTGCAAAACGGTGCTAAATTCGCCCGGGTTTTTCCCCGAGACGTACAACGTTACTACGGAGGAGGCCGGTTTTGGTGGTGGTGATGGTGATTCGGGTGCTTTAGAATTAACTTTTTGTACCGACTCCTCCCCCTGATTGTGATCCTTGTCCTTTTTACTATTACTGTCGGATGGTGCGGGTGGTGTGGGTGGTGGTTGTGGCGTGGCTAAAAGTTGTGTCGCTTGTTGTTGGAGAAAAGCCGGTGGCGTGGCCAAGATGGGATTTTGGATTTGTTGCTGTTGCAAAAGTTGCTGTTGTTGAAGTTGCAGCAAATTTTGCAACAAGAGATTGTTCGGTTGTTGTTGTTGGGGTGAAAGTAGGAGTGATTGTTGTTGTGCGAGTTGTGGTGCTGTGGCTGTCGGCGAAATTATGGTCGACTCCGTTATGAACTCTGTCGCGGTAATGATATGGGTCGAACTCTCAACTATGGTGGACTTTAGAGGTTTCCCGTGCAGCGTGATTTTAACGATTGTGCTGGTAAAATCTGTGACAGTGGTGACATAACTAGTTGTTTTTGTGTTGTACTGAGTAAACGGTGTGGCTGGCTCGTTATTATTATTATTATTAAGCAAAAGCGACCCTCCCGGATTCTGTTGGAGGGCGAGAAGGTTACCCGGGTTTAGAAGCCCTTGCCCCAAAAGCTGGTTAAGGAGGAGGTTAGTCAACTGGGAGTTGTCTTGGAGGGGATTATTGCCTAATGGGTTAAGAAGTGGGCCTGTAATGGTGGAAATTAAGGGCTCCACTGAATACACGGTGGAGGGGACGATATGCGAAAAGGACGTTTTCCTCCCCCTGATCGTAGTCGGGGTAAAGGTCACGGACGTCGTGGGACTCTCCCTGATGAGATATCGGGTCACCTCCGTCACCCCGAAGGATGGCATGGACGTCTCCTCGGAAATAATTACGAGGGCAGGTTTTCCCAAATAGTCAGACTGTGTGTATTGATACGGGGCCAAAACTTGGACGGACGGAGACTGAGTGACCACCGTCTTATACTCGGTCGACTTTCCGTTCACGAATGGAATCGAAGTCTCTGCCGGGACGTAGTGGGTGACCGTGATCGTTGCGGAAGGTTCAAAAACAGGGTCAGGGTTCGAATTAATACTGGAACTTCCTCGCGAACGAGTTAAGGCGGAACCAAAGCGGGAGTTTGCGGAATTTGAGGAGGAGCGAGAAAGTGGAGGGGCAGGGGTGGTTAGTGAGTCGCGAGAATTGTACCGATTTCTAAACCGAGAAGTTCTACTAGTCGTTGTAGTGAGACGAGAGTCTGTCGAAGGTCGAGAATTTCGAGAGGATGATGACCTAGGTCGTGACGGGATGAAGGGGCGTGACGTGGATGATGGTGCCGATGCCCTAGTCGGACCTCGTGATCGGGTTGGGGTACGAATATTATTATTATTATTAGCAGAGTTTGTATTATGCGTCAAAGTAAAAGGTGTACGTCTCGCGGGGGATGCCGTCGTGGATGCGGGTGTCGGTTGGATGCGTCCCCTGAATCGGGAGGAGGGAGATAGTTGTCGGGGTGGTGGTGGTGGTGGTGGTGATGCAGCTGTGGTGCGTGGTGGTGATGGTGGGGCAGGTTGTTGTTGGTCGTCAGTGTCGTACACGTACTCGTACTCATAGTCTGAATTTTGTCCAGAAGAAATACGTGAATTAGGCTTAGAATTTAAATTACTACTACCACTATTAGAAGAATAAGTTGAGGAGAAGGGTGAAGATCTAGAGGGAAAGTTAGAGCGAAGAGTGTTTCGAGCCGTGCGGGCCCCGTAGTAATTATTATTGTAAATAGAGTGGATTAACAGGGCATACTCAGAGGGGGAAACTTGCCTGGAATTTGGAGACCTTTTCCTCCTCCTGCTCAGAAGAGAGGCTGCTGCGTCGTCTTCTTCTTGTAAGCCGACTGAAGATGACGGGTGGACGCCGAAAATGTCGCTAACCATGTCTGGTGGTGCTTGTACTCTCATTGGTGACAGCTCAGAGCCTGCTGCTACTTGTTGGGTCGTCACCGTTGCATTACTACTACCCGCATTGAGGACGAGTTGGTCAGGATTGGGTAAATTTTTACTCTCCTGATACTCAAATTCGCCTTCTTCATAATATTCCTCGTCGGCATGGGCGGGAGAAACGGTCGTCGTTGTTCTCGCCAAGGGTCCTACCGCTTTGGGAAATAGGGATCCGGCTGGTCTCGGTCGTGGTGTGTAGATTCGACGTGTCGTGGTTTGTGCGACAGGTGCGGAAGTTGTGGCAGCAGCACGACCGCGGTTAGCTGGTACTGGTGCAGGTCGGGAAGTTGGTCTTGGTGCGGAAGAGGCAGTAAGTGGTTTCCTACTTCCGAATGGAGCTCGTCCCCCGATAGGTTTCGTCGTACTGGTCGTGGTCGTCGTTGATGTGGAGGGAGATTCGACGTCATACTCATTTTCAAGAGTGTACTCTTGGTCGTTCGTCGGTTTTGAAATGGAGGTGTCGTCTCCACCCTCGGCGGTGGAAGATGTGACCGGTGCCGGGGTAGTAGTTCCTCTCGTGGGGATTGTTGGTTTTGAAAATCGTCTCAAATTTAGTGGACTTCCTCTCGTGGTTGGGCGAGATGTCGTGGTTCCTGTCGCCGTTGGCGTCGAGAGTTTGTTACTAAGACGGAATCTATTTCCACCACCGCCATATCTACTTCTTGGCGATTCTGTCGTCGAGCTTGTCGTCGACACTGTGGAGGAGGAGCCGCCATCAGTATATTCATATTCAGTATCGGTATACTCTGACACTGCCGGTGAAGACAACAAGGTTGGGGTCACGGTGGATGTTTGTGTCGCAGTTGGATTAATCGCTGACGACGATGCCCGCCCTCTCCCACCCGGAACGAATCTTGAACTAGAACTCGCCCCACTACGAACTCCTCCTAGCGAAGATGTCGCCCTAATTCCGCCCGGGACGGAGGTTCGACTTCTCCCTCCTCCAGCAACGGAGGAACCTCGTGGCGCAAAAGTGCTCCTACTCTTGGAAAAGCTGCCCCCACTGGAACCAGTCCCCCCACTCGCGCTGGACGGAGAAATTGAGGCTGACGATGCTGAGGCGGCGGAATTTGACTTGTCAAAACGCGACTTTCCTCCCACAACGGGTTTCGTAAAGCGGCCGTTTCCTCGCGATCTGGATGCTGGCAAGGCCGGCGTTGGTGTCGTTGTTCCATCCGCGTTTACATTGTTGGAATCACCGCCCGGTTTTTGGAAACGTCTCTTCGCCTGGAAACCACCTCTGCTAAGAACGGAAGTTGACGGAGATGACGATGATGACGCATCTTCCGTCTTGGAGGCAACAATTACCGGGGTGGAGGTTCGTTTTCTCGGTGTAAAACCGGAGGGTCGACTCCTGCTCGCGAATGGAGTGATGGTCGGAGCAACTTTTGAACTTCCGGTAAAAGAGAGACGAGAAGAAGACGCCCTGTTACCAGATCCGAATCGTGGTCGGGGTGGAACAATTCCCAACTTTTTGGTGGTCACCTCTTCCGATGAAGATTTGTCCTTCTCCGTTGTTGTAGTCACAGCCTCGTCGTCATCATCATTATTTTGGCTACTGCTGGATTCAGTGACGGAGCTTTCCACATCGACAAATACGGTTTTTGAGACGAGACCATCCTCAGTTTTTGTGGGGTTGATGATAAATCGGGACGTGGACTCGATAACTTGTGCGTATTGCCCATCCACAAAAGTTCCCAGGATGGAGGACGTGTAGAAAGTAGTGTGGTCACCTTCCACCAACGTGCCATCGATGACTCGGACAAGACCAGTTTTTTGGAATTGGGCAGCATCGTCCGTCTTTGCATTTCCTTTCTGGGAGGAAGTGCTTTCCACGAGGTGGGCGTACTGTCCATCGATCACTGTTCCGTAGGCCGTCGTGGCGAAAAATGTGGTGCGATCCTTCCCAGCCTCGACCGTCTTGCCTTCATTGACTGAAACCACACCCGTCACAGATTCACTTGCTTCCGGGAAGAAGCGAGTAAAGGCGGAGGCCAACGTGGGGGTGACGACCTTTGACGTGGATTCTAAAACTTGTGCGTAAATTCCATCAATCAAAGTGCCAAAGACGTCGGTCGAGTACAGCGTTGTCGTTCCATCGTGGACAGAAGTGGACACGATGGTTGAGAGCAGACCAGTCGCGTAATCTTCGTATTCGTCCTTGTCATTTCCGGTGACTTTTTGCTCTCCAGGTTTGGCCGTGCCACCGATGGCGCGTGCTGTTTGAGTCGATGTTGGGCTGACCGTTCCCGTAATTACGTTCGTGACCGTTTCGAGGCGCGAGTTGATAACAGTTTTCTCGCCAAGATATGAGCTTGTAAAATACGTGTAGGTTCTGTTTTTTTTTGGGGGTAATAATTAGCAATTAGTACTTGTTGTATGTAATTATTGCAATGGTCTATTATAAGCTTGTATAAATTCATGCTAAAAATGCTTTCGTCAAGGGTCAGAATCTGCATGCATTTTCCAAGTGCATGTTTTGCTGGTGACGCTACAGACGCCGCTGAGGAGGACAACCCTTCACCGACAGAATCACCGATCTTGATGCCCTTTGGATATGTTGTAGTCCTAGGTGAGTCTAGCAAAAGTGAAGAAGGATTTCATTCCATGGCCCCATTTGCGCCCGCCACACCCACTCAAAGAGGAATCCCATGCCAAACTGGTCGCATTAAAAAATTCACCAAAAATCCATTTTTAATGATAATTTGATAATTTTTGCACCATTTTGATCCCAGATAGTTGTTTCATCGTATCCGACATGAATTTCAATTTTTTGAATTTTTTTGAATATTTTCGAAAATTTCGTGGATTTCAAAAAAATCAAAATTTCAAAAAAGTTGAGTTTGCTATTGGATATGGTAAAGCAACTATCTAAGGTCACAAAAATGCTTAAATTGTGAAAATCCGACCAAAATTGGATTTTTGGTGATTTTTTTAATGAACCAAAACAGGGTGTTTTCGCACCTTTGAGTGGGTGTGGCGGGCGCAAATGGGGCCATGGAATGAAATCCTTCTTCACTTTTGCTCGACTCACCTAGGACTACAACATATCCAAAGGGCATCAAGATCGGTCATTCTGTCGGTGAAGGGTTTTCCTCCTGAGCAAAGAATGCGCTTGGCTGCTGGAATCTGGAGAGATAAGCATTCAAGGGACATGGGACGAGTTGCAAGTTGCAATGCATTTAGTAGCCGTGCCGCACTCACGCAGCTCGTTCCTGAGTAAATATCTAGTCCCTTTTTACGCCTTAAATTTGAATTTTTTCCATTTTTTTACTAGTACTTTTTTTTACAAATTATTATCAGAAATTGGTTAGTTGCTGTAAAATGGGGTGGAAAGGTTTTCACGCCAAAGTTAAGGCCCATTGCCTTCAGGTTTATCTGTCACAGTTTACGGGGTGGATTTTGGGGATAGACCTGTTGTGCTTCATGTACAAAGGGTTGTATTCGTGTGCAAAAAATAAGGACGGAAATTATCAACTCGAGGACTATTGCCAACGATCAACATGATGCTGGATGTCAACATCAAGCCCATCATTGTCATCGACGGACGACGACTTTTGGCCAAGGCTGAAACACACGAGAAGAGGGCAAGAAAAAGACGCCACGACGACTCATCAACTTCACCACCAAAACTGACACCATCTATTGTACGGCGTTTTATTAGGATCGCCCGATCGCTAGGAGTCGACGTTATTGTGGCTCCTTTCGAGGTAAGTTTGACGAATTAGTACTTGATTTTAAAATGTAATAAATAATACAAAAAAAACAAAACTATAAAAATAACAACACAGGCCGACGCTCAGTTAGCCTATATGGCGAAAACCGGAATTGTGGACATGGTAGTAACCGAGGATTCTGACCTCATCGCGTATGGATGCCCACGCGTAAGTGACACTCTTTTCAAATATTATTATTTGTGCAAGGAATTAATAATATATGCGTCTTATCAGGTTCTCTTCAAGTTGGATAAATACGGTCGGGGGGACTACTTTGAGCGATCGAAATTGCCCGTGTGTTTTGGCATGACTGCCGAACAATTAAGCGATGAAAAGGTTATCCAAATCTGTGTCCTTTCGGGATGTGATTATTCAGATAACATCGCTAATATTGGAATTGAAAAAATACTGCAAATTGTACGGAAACATGATTCATGTGACATTAAAAAGGTAAATTAAATAACTCTTTCTCAATTATTTTAAAACGTTTCCTGTCAACAACAGTAACAACATTTGCATGTATTACAGATTCTGGAGGAAATTAAAAAAGCACAGCAATGCAAAAATTCCCAAAGATTATGAATCAAAATTCAAGAAATCCTGCTTCACTTTCTCACACCAACCTGTATTTGATGTAGCGACTCGAAAAGTTATTCCCTTGACCCCATTCAATCATGACGAAGAAAATTTATCTGACATTGCGTTCGCAGAAAGTATGCTACCGGACAGTCTGGCTCTTCAAATGTCTCTTGGTCTCTTGGTCTGGCAATCTCGACCCCTACACACTGGCTTATTATGACGACAAGGAAATGTTTGACCTCAACAACCTGGACGAGACTAGTATTTGGTCAAAGGATTATACCAAAACGGCTTTTCCCACTATCCCATCCAATCTTCTGGATGGACTTACCAACTCAGAAGGAGAGGACGACGACGACGATGGATGGAATTGCCCAGAGTGTGACCATGAAAGATTTGAAACTTGCACAGAATTCAGAAAACATCTGTTCACCACCACGGAATTTCCAATTACAATTGCGAATTTTGCGGGAAAGTTTGCAGGTTCCTGGGTTGAACATCTTCGGACCCACAACGGTGAAAGACCCTATGAATGTAAAGTCTGTTTTAAACGATTCAAGCACGGTCACCACCTCAAAACACTCGTTACGACAGTCCACGAGGGACAGAGAAATTACCAGTGCTGCTTTTGCTCAGACAAATTCACACAGCAAATTGCTTTAACTCGTCATGTTAGAATGCTCCACAGTGGGGACAGACCTTTTGAGTGTGAGGAGGAAGATTGTGGCAAAAAGTTTTTCACCAAACAACATCTGCAGATCCACGTCACAACCGTCCATCAAGGCCAGAGAAATTTCAAATGCTCAATCTGCAGTCAGACCTTCACACAAAAACCTTCGCTGGACCTTCACGTAAGATCTGTTCATGGAGGAGAAAAAAATTATATCTGCCCCGAATGTGGAAAAAGTTTTTCTCAAAAAGTTACTCGTGATCATCATATCTCGTCTGTCCACAACAAAGAAAGGCCTTTCCCTTGTACCGTGTCCCAATGTAAGAAGAGTTTCGATACAAAGCAACATCGAGATGGTCATATTTCGTCTTTCCACATGAAAGAAAAGCCTTTTCGCTGCACCGTGTCCCAATGTCAGAAAAGTTTCGACACAAAGCAACATCTGCAGACCCATATTTCATCCGTCCACGACAAATTGAAACCCTTTTCTTGCCCCCATTGCACCAAAACTTTTGCGTCCAAAACTACTCTAACGATACATCTGAGGACCCACACTGGAGTCAAGCCGTATCAATGCTTATTGTGTACAAAGACGTTTACTCAGAGTGGTAGTTTAAAGACACATATGAAAACGCAGCATCCCTTGCCTTAAAAATGTGAAACCAACATATTTGTCTCAATCTTTTGTCGAGTTTACCAACAATTGGTAAACTAATAATATTGTGATTATTGTTATTATTATTAGATACTTTCCACATGTATGTATAAATTTGTTATTTGTATCTGACTGATGAATTATTAATTATTTGACATGTGTACTGATACAAGAGAATGGTTCAATTATAATGTAGGTAGTAAATTTTAAATTGGCTTTCCGTACTTTTAAACGAAAGTATTTTCTCAATAAAAAATAGATTGACCCAAAACGCAACACTTGATCTTTTTTGAAGCATTTTTGGCATGAATTTTTACAAACTAATGAACAAGTAGAGAGAGACTTACGTAAAGAACGTGGTCAGCTCGACCTCCTGAGCCGCTGAAGATGTCGGGACAATCTCGTTCACCTCTGTCGAACTTGGCGACAAGGAAGCTCCCGGATCTGGAGTGACGACATTGGTGACCGTTTCCTCTCGCGAGGTCACAATACTGTTCCCATCCTTAAAACTGGTAGTCCAATAAGTCAGAGTAGTGAAGTAGGTTACCGGATAAATGGGGTCGATCGTGGAGAGGAGTGGTGCCTTCACACTGACCTCGTCATCCTCATCGTCACCAAGTCCAGCCGTGTCTGTGACCACTTGGCTTTTGGTTTCTAGTCGCGAACTCACAGTGGAGGAACCTCCCTTGTAGTATGTAGTGTAAAAACTATATGTAGTATACAGGGTTTTGAGCAGAGGGGTTTTCGACTTGGCGATGACATCGTTTACATCATCATCGTCCTTATCGTCGTAAGAATCTGGTCGTGTCGTAGTGATGCCGATATCTTCAGATCCCTCGAGCTCGTACTGGTCGGGATTTTGGGTAGTCACAGTGACATCCGCGTCCACACTGTCAATCTCATTCGTAACGAATTTAGGAGTGCGCGTTGTCGCTGACGATGCTGAGGAGACTGATCGTCCCGATAATTGAGTGGGTGCGATCGGCTCCACATATCCGGATCGGATCGTGGCATCTGCGACGAGAATGTTGGTGTACGTTTGTTTCGACGTCTTGACGGTGGAAGTTTTTCCTTTAAAAATACTCGATAAATAAGTATACGTCGTGTAAAAAGTGGTCTCCTTCACCTTGCTCTTTGGATTATTGGACATTTTAAATGAGGATGACGCCGATATACTTTCTTCCCCTTCGTCATACTCGTCACTAATCGGTGGTGCCGTTGGGACAGAACTGGGTGTGATTGGCGCTAAGGTCTTGGTCACATATGGGACCACATTTGTGATAATTTCGGTTCTCGACTTGATCGAAGTGTCCTCTCCAAACAATGTAGTTACAAAAGTGAATGTAGTGAAAAAAGTTCGGAGCAGCGTTTTCGTGACGGACTGATACTCAATTTCGTCCGTAGCCCGGTTATCATCGTCCACTTCTTCCGTAGTGGAGGAGGAGGGGACAACCTTTTGACGAAGAATTGTGGAGGCACGTCCTCGAGTACGGATTGAGGAGGATGACGCCCCCAGGTTTGGAGTGTTGATCGAGTTGGTGCTGCTGAGACGGGGTGCAATCGTCTTATATCGGGATCTGGCTACGGTTGAAGATGACGACGTTGGCGTGATGGTCGAGTCAGTCGCGAAAGATTTTGTGAGAGCTATTCCTTGCGAGGAAGTTACTGTTACAATGTTGGAGACTGTTTCCTCTCGTGACGCTACGCTAGATGTTTGCCCACTGTTGAAAAAAGAGACAAGGTTATGATTTGAAAAATTGCATATATTATAATGAATAATTAACTCATAGTCTGACTTACCTAAAAAATGTTGTTAGGTAAGTGTATGTCCTGTTTGTAATAATTAGTAATTAGTACTTATTGTCTGTAAATCATGAATCATGAACTCATAGTTTCACTTACGTAAAGAGCGTCTTGTAAATGACCTGAGCCTGTGCACCGCCATCCTTGCCCCTGATCCGCTTTGGTTTGGTTACCACGGCTGAGGGTTTGGTGGCCTCTTCATCATCCTCAAGTGTACTACTGCTCGTGGGGACGACGAGATTGGTGAAAGTTTTTCTGACCAATCCAACCGCACTCGAGGTGACTTCTCGCGAAACTATTTTCGTCGAAGTAGATCCCTCTTCTGGGATGAAAAATGTGGTAAAGTAGGTCCAAGTTCGGAAAACAGTTGTGGGCAGGGTCCTTGTCACATAGACGGTTTGATCTTGTTCATCTTGCCCTGATGGAACTGGGGAGGCTTCAAGATCAACGATAATTTGGTCCTTCGCATTGCCAGCGACCTTTCGCTTTCTCCCAATTTCATTTTCCGCCTCGGAAAACTCTGTCGTTGTCGTAATGTCGTCGTCATCGAAGGAATCTTCCAGTCGAACCGTGGTGGTGGGAAGATCATCATCAATATCGTCATCCACCTCCTTTGACCTCGGCGTCGTGGATGACACGGTGACCTCCATCCTATCCACATCATTTCCAGCTGTAGTCGTCTCTACATCGTCACCATTATCCGTGCTGCTCTGCGTCGTGGTGGAGAACTCGTAGTAAATCGGAGCAACGGATTTTGGACTGGATTTTGGCAACTTGGCCACACTCGTGGGTCGGATGGTTGACCTGGTTGGAAGAACGGAGGATGACACGGCCGCTTTAACGACACGGCTCGTACTCTTGATCACTTGAGCGTAACTCTTCCCAATAAATGTGCCATAAACGAGGGACGTGTAAAGGGTCGTTTTTCCATCTCTGACAATAGTTCCGTCCACCGAGGTGACAAGTCCGGTCGGGTTGAGGATATCGGTTTGGAACACAGAGGTTACCGCGGTCTGATAAGGCCCACTCTTCCCGGAGGAGGAAGTGAATGAGGGCGAAGCTGATGACGATGAAGCCTCTTTCGACTTTGGCGTGAACTTTGCCCTCGGGGTGGAAAAGAGGGAATTTCTCTTATCTGACAACGACGAAGTTGATGATGGTCTCACTTTCGGTATTTGATGACCTCCCGAACTCTTACTTGACCCGAGAATGATCGTCTCTCGGCCAGAAATCTCGGAAGTTGGGTTAATTTCCGTAGTAGTTTCTTCATCCTCTTCATCCCTGAAAGTGACTCGTTTTGAGGATGAAGATGCTTTCTTCTTATCATCAAGAACTTTCCTCCCTTGCACTTGCGACACGGAGAACTGGATGTGATCCTCATCTCGACTTCCCTCCGTGGTAGTCGTCGTTTCATCCCCATTTCCCGTATGGTAGACATATCTCGTCGGCTCGATCTGTTGTGAGGACGGTTCATTCCTCGTCTTTGTGGCGTGCACGCTCAAATCCTCAATCATCTTGGTCCTCGGCATAAATACAATGACCGTGTTTCCCACCGTCGTTGTAAAGTCGGCAAACCCCACATATGTCACGGTCGCTCGTCCCGTAGAAGCAGCCCCGGCCAAATCATTATCCGAATCTGACGCCGTTTTCTCCGCATCGAAACCCGAGAATGCTCTATGACTTCGATTGGGCATGGGGTAGCGTCCATTCAGATTAGCACCACCAACAGAAGAAGAGCTCGTCTTCTTCTGAGTGTAGCCAAGGGCACGAATCCGATCCGTAGAACGGGCGGGTGGAGCACGTTCCGTAGTTTTGAGGAAGACTGGCGCTTGAGCGACACGGACAGGATTTTTTGTCGAGGAGTCGACCAACATGTCGGCGACGTGTGGGGTGGTGACTTCCTGCTCCAAACCGACCATGTCTGGCTGCCCGACCGTGAAGGTGGGTAGGCTGAGCTGTTCTGCGGCACGGGATGGTGCAATAAGCGAATCTGGGACCTTTCTCCCTTGTGGGATCTCATTTTCGTTGTCATTATTATTTTTATTTCCAGTCGATGAGGACGATGAGGAGGAGGAAACTCGTTCCTGAGTCGTGTCTCCCAACGTCATCGTGATCATATCCACCGTGGGTGTGCCTTCCACTTCTTGTGCGCCGTCAACACTGATAAATTCATCCCCGCCAATCTCGGAACCCTCGATCTCAACCAGCACACCCGACATTCTTTCCCCTCCAATGGAACCATCAACCTTAACCCGACTGTTTGAGGAGGGTACCACAACCCGTAGATTTTTCGACATGTCCACCATAACACTATTTCCGGGTCGACGACCACTCTCCACGGTCAGCGTGGCAGGCGAAGTATTCCCCAAACCAGCCTTGGTCGCATCAATCACCGTATTTCCAAAAAAGAAGAGGAAAGTTTTCGAATTTTGGACGTAGCTTCCCGTAAAAACGTTGTAAGTCGTCTCGTCTCCACGGTCTTGATCCGCGTGGACAAACTTGCCATGCGTTCCGGTCACTTTGAGCTCGTTCGCGGCATTGTTGTTGGGTCGGAGGAGTTTTAAAGAGCCCGGATTCGCCTCATCTTCTGAAACAATGCCCACTTCGGCGTAGGCCTTGGAGGAAATCACGTTATTTTTCGGGGCGACGAAACTTCCCCTCACTTCGGCTGGGAGGAGGGCCGTTGAGTAAACTTTTCCTACAAGCTGATCCACCGCAGTTGGCTCAATCCCCTCAATTCGATCAGTGTACCATGACGGATACTTGACATTCGAAGTGCTCGAGACAATCTGGGCGTACGTTCCGTCGATATAAGTCCGGTAAAATTCTGTAGAATGAACCGTCGTGGCGTAACCGTTGATCTCCGTGGATGTCGTGGATGCGATGAATCCCGTAGGTCGAACCTCACCCCCACCACCGGCTTGCTCGGTGGGAACGGCGTGATAAACTTTCGAAGAGGTGGAAACGATCCGAGCGTAAGTTCCTTTAATATACGTGCCAAGGACTTTTGTCAGATATTCCGTCGTCGTCCCGGAAGTCACGAAGGCTCCGAGAGACGTTGACAATAAGCCGACCGGACGAGTGCGGGCGCGTTCATTGGTGAAAAATGTTGTCGTCGCGTCACCACCGCCGAATTCTGTGGGGGTGAAAGACAGAAAGAAACAAGAAGGTCAGAAATTATATAGAGAATTCAAGAAGTGTGTGTTTTTTTGCGTAGATTTCATTTTTTTGCTCATTGTTTTTTTTTACGAAATTTGTAAATAAATAAACAAATATTTTTTTTAAATAAAAAAGCATAAATATTGAAAAAATGCAGAATTTTTTGTCAAATAGAAAAATCTTGTTAGCATTTGAAATTTTGTTAGTAAGTATTTTTAAAAAATAAAAAAAGTACGTGCATTTTTAGTCATCTTGTGAGCTTATTCATTCCATTATTTTTTTAGTGTGTGTTAAAAATGTTGACAGAAAGTATTAAGTAAGTGTGATTTTTTATAGTTATTAAATAAAAAAGAAACAGTTATTAAAGAGGAAGAAAAAGACAAAGTTTTGTTAGAATTTGTATTTATAAAAAGAAAAAGCTTTTTGTAAAGAGGAAGAAGAAGAAGAAGCGACGATTGCGATGAGATGATTATTATTATTTAAAAGTCATGAAGTTGAGATTAGCGTGTGCATGCATTATTTAAATTTGTTTACAAATTATTCAAAGTGAGAATATGCATGTATGTATGTTATCATTTTTGCAGATAAGTGCATGCATGCGGAGGAGGAGGAAATTGTATATGACATGCACCACAAAGAATCTTATTTGTGCAGACTTTCACTTTTGATAATGACCATAAATATCTACACATGTGTAAGTTCGCTATCAGATCAGCCTCACATTTAAAAAAAAATATTAAAAAATACTTTGTATTTACAGTGACGAAGACGAACGACGACGACGACTTAATCCTTTAAAGAGTGACTAGAAATCATGATCAATCGTAAATATTTGTCTCGCAAAGAAACAAAATAAATATGCATGTACCAATTTTTCCGTAGTAAAGTCAAGTTTCCATTCCACTTCTGGACTGGTACGTATGTATGTCAAGTCAAACATAAATGATGCAAAAGTATGGGAACAATCGTGCCCAAACAATTTACAAATGTATCACTTGCAAATGCCAACTGACTCCAATTCGCCGAAAAAATTGGGCATGAAACACAGCTTTTTAAATGTAATTGCGTCTGTCTACCTCAATTTTGATATCATTTGATGACGATTCCTAGCACAAAATCATCCCGTCCGTACTATTAAATATGTTACATATACATAGCGGAAGGAACGACTCGCAGGTAGTAGAAAACTCACCAAGATATGAACGACTAGGTCGGTAGGTAAATAAGTAAGTGAGAGATAAGTACAAAAAAAAGAACCAGAAATGACAAAAGATTCCTAAATTCTCACGGTTTCTATTTTAATGCTCACTAACCAACCACCGACAAGAAATACGCCGTTTAGGATGAACAAGTCACAAATTAGCTACTCGTGCTTAACACCTAGTGTGTAATACTGTGTAATGCAAATTCTTAACTAATTTCTGATTGTTACTATTCAATGCAATGAATTACGCATTTATTATGCATCCGAAGTAAAAAAAATGATAATTTATTTATGTACCTGCTGCTTGCTCTTCTCCCGTAACGTGCTAAAAATACACCTAAATCTCCCCACTACCATTGTCAATGTCTAATTATGATTACAAAGTTGTGCTGTGAATTAAGCCCTGATTTTTAACCTGCATTTATTCACAACAATGCTATTTATATTTGTCGAATCAAATGGAAAATTAAGCCCGGAGGGATTCGCGCACTTCACAAAAGCAATAATTTAAATGAATTTGAACTTTATCTCGATTAAACCTTCACAATAATAAATCACGTCGAGATAACGATGCTCTATAAATAAGAAAAAAAATAAGTATAATAATGTGTGTGATGCCAATTTACTCTTATTGCTCGTGGCATTCAGTCACTATTTCAATAAGGCACTGGGCCGATGGTCAAGATTGCACTTTGGTGCATAGATTCTCATTAGACCAAAAGTTATTAAATGGACGGACAGGAATTTGGATAATGACTTTGTGGTGCTTGTCTAGTTCAAATTTCATTTCGCATTGTGGATGCATGTTCGTACTCAATGGATTTCAGAACGGATTAATGTCGTCGTCGTCGTCGACATCGCCGTTAATTTAACTTTTAACGTCTCACTTGGTCTCTAATAAACTTTTCCAAATGTGAGAACTGTAGCTGGGAGCATATTTTTTTATCTGTGTAGCGTCGTTCGTGGCGCATGTTGTTTGTTATTACGATTATTGGTTGAGATGTGAGATTGATGATGGAATAGTTTGAGAGAAAGTGACAAGCGACGACTGACCTGGTATTGCGGCTCTCTTGAATCTGATGTCTTCCGATGTCCTGTTTTTAATCGCACATTTCGATGGGTCCCACTCCCCTGAGAAGGAAAAATAATATTTAATTACAGGTTTTAAAATTGTTTGGTAAAAAAAGATGGGCAAATAATCTCAAGTTTTTTCTCCTTATTAAATAAAAGACGTTAACGTAACTTTGTAAATTGTGTAAAATAATGTTCAAACGTCTGTCACAAGTTGAAAATTTTGCATCTTAAGGACTTTACAAATATTCATTCATTTACACATTATTGCGCATTTTTTTCATTTCTGAAGGATATGATAAGCTCTGGATCGTGCTATAATGTAAACTTTTTGTTGTTAAAAAAATCTGGACATTTAAATGTCACGGTTAATGTACTCGATGCCCTTGCCGATTTGTGCACATTTGCATATTATTTATTTCCACACTTTCGAAACCAAGCCTATTTTTACTCCATATATATTTATTCTTAATTTTGACATCTTACTTATTTGCCATTCAAATTTATGCCCTTCAGAGTAAAAGTGTGTAAACCACTTTACAACAAAAAAGAAGATGCAGTTTATTATAATACAAATTTGCATCAATTGTATGCTGTGTGTTGTGTATGTGGTTAGTAGAAAATTTGTGTAAAGAAGAATCTCCATTTTAAGCACAAAGTCTTCCACTTGCCATTTCTCATGTACACAAAAGATGTCAATTTGTCACAAAAAAATCTCATGAAAGCAAAATATATCGAAATTAATATTCCACTCGTTCACACTTTTGTTTGATTTGTGACAAAAGCTGACAACAAACGAGCGTACCTTTTATCTCGCAAAATTCAACGGCAAGAATGGGACAGATTTCTACTGAATACATAAACTAAACTCAAATAAAAAGAATGTAAATCACACAAAAATCTGTTGCTAATTCAATTTTCATATCTTCAACTTCCCTGCCTGCCTTTGCTCTTGAGAGTACAATTGATTTTGACAATTTTATTTAATGTCAAGTCTTCAACTAACTTTCTCGAGTAAAAAAGTCAACTCGTTTTTTATTCCTTGCCTGGCCTGACCAAACCACACATAATAAACAGAAAAAGAACACAGTGATTGTGGTGGAAAGTGGTTTGTTTATACATTACTTGATATTGAGGGTATTCATTATTTCTTCGTATCCATCGTATCGTAAAATAGTTTACGAAGAAAAAACAAGGGGTCAAGCTTAGTAAAAATCGTAAGCGTAGTAACGTGATTTTCGATGACAAAATCTTACGACGCTTGCAAAATCTCGTAAGCTTCGTAAGTTATCTTACGATACGAAGAATACTAAGGATACGAAGAAATAATGAATACCCTCATTGTTCTTGTAGGCAGGAAAAAAATATTTTCAAAAATTTGAAATTTATTTTTTTTCAAAATTTTACCTTCATCTGACCCGTCTTCACAGTCTTTGACTCCATTCTTAACTAAGCTTTTGTCTACACATTTCGGAACCCCGCAGTCACATCTGAACTCATTTGTTGCACATGAAGAAAGGGATGCGTCTGAAATAAAGAAATGAAAAAAAATCATTAACATTGATTAATAATTCATTGAAAATAATGTCACCATTTTTTTTATAAATCGTAATTCTCAATTAGGGCAACGACGACGACGGTGATGATGATGATTATTTATTGCATACGACAAGTCACGTAACAGGACAAGATTGGTTCACTGATTAAATAAATTTTAATCAAGATCCATCCCGCGACTGTTTCAATTAATGGATTTGAATTCCTCTCTAACACAACATTACTTCCAAATTTTATGCGTAAACTTTAGGTATGTGCCGGAATGTGGCCTGGTCGTCGTGTGTCAAGTCATGGCGGTGGTGATGATGACATTCATTAAACTCACAAGTGACAATTCGTCATGGAATATTAGTCTTGAAAAAAGCGAGCCGACTCTGAGCCATGGGGTGCCCATGCAGATTCGAATCCGTCGCCTGCCTGTGACAATGCCAAGAACGCTACAATTGTGCCCGTGGTGGTGGTTCAATTGTTGAGAGGAGATTCATAAATTATTTTTCTACACATTCCCCCTTGAATGACATCCGTTTACTCTTTTGCGATTACAGAGAGACCGACCGACCAACACAGGAAGAAAGAGACAATCCTGTTTTAGTGGATGATTAAATAATATGTGATACGTAGAGCGTAATGTAATAGCCATGCCAAAAGGTAGAAGAGAGTAGAGACGCCACACTTTTTAGCAAGAAAAAGTTTGGCACGTTCCCCTCTCAAATTGCGTAATACATATTGTATTCTTTCTGTTTTGTTTTATTACCCAATTTTTTGCGTGTACATGTTTCCAATGATTATTACTTTGAGATAAATCGCATGGAATATCCGTAACTGTCTGTGTGACAATGACCACCCAAAAGATTTTTTATAGAGTAGATTCTCTACGAGCGAGCGATAGAGTACAGTAAACTTGAAATATTTAGCAAACCAATGGTAATAATAATATGGTGATAAATGATGACGTGAGATGCATACTTTTTTAAGGGGATGATTTAAGAGATCATGTTCTGCCACTTTTATGCTTCGTTGAATACGTACATGTGATTATTTCCTATTATTAATGTGTACCTCGTGCCCCATTGAACTTGTGAACTACGCGTCCATTTGTGGTGCAAAAATCGGAATACAATACAATGGAATAAATCCCCGCGAAAAATCGATATGTTCCGGACAATCCCACCGAAAAATGGGGGAACTAAAATTGTCCCACTAAATATAACGTTTGAAAATGATACGCATGCCGACACACAAGGATTCCGAGAAGATCAGGATTACTTACACCTTGATTACACCCAGGACCACATTGTCACGTAATGATTACGCCTAAATCGTCCATATGCAATTGCAGCTATATATTTTATTTTGTGAAAAGAGTTACTCATTGTTGTCTTAATTAGGAAGGAGAGAGACGATGATATTTATTTATGGATTGATTAGTTCTTTACGCAACAATCAACAATGAATGAATTCCACACCACCGCCGGTTTGAATAATGAGGAGAGAATGCGACCCACCAACAATGACAAGAAATGTGTATCGTCGTCGACTCCTTAACTATTTGGATTATTGTCCAATATGGGACACACTTTACGTTACAAATTGTGAACAAAGTCATGGTCATGAATATTTCAAATGCATAAACCGAGACAAATTTATAGGGTACTACATAACAACGTTGCATATGGTCAGCTCAGCACACGTACCTAACTAACTAACTAACTAACTAACGAACTAACTAACTAACCGGACCACCACAATAGGTACACACATTGCGATATTATTTATCCCTGTAAATTTTTTGACACTAATGATTCCCGAAAACGCGGACAGTGGTGTGGCGCATATTTTCTCGCATCGTAAAAGTAAATGAACTAGATGATCATGAAGAAATATTGCTCAAAAACTGGTCAAGTTTATCGTGTTTTACATGCTGCACGTTCCTCTGTTCCCATTCTTTTAGTCAGACGGGAGAGAGATTTGCATATTACGGATTTGCAAAGTTTTGCAGGTATCACGACTTATCGCGTTTGCTATCATTATTAAGATAGAGAGATGAGTATAAATTTGCAAGGATGCGGTTTCTTCGGCATTATGGATGGAAGGATGGATGGATGTAATGAGGGTGCAACTCATAATTTTATATTGCAAAAAGTTAAATTTTATCTTACTTTACGGCCATTTTATTAAATGCTCAAGAAGAAGAAGAACAAGCCACCAGAGGATGGAGGGATGATAAAAACGGTAAAATATTTCTATGTATGTACATATATGCACATTATCATGATAAAGTGTGGCTTACTGCTAAATGCACGTATTATTATTATGTATGTAGGTAAATGAAAGAGAGACACACCTGTTGCTCAATTTTGCAAAAAGTATGAATTTGCAAGGATTAGTAAAATCGGGGAGAATTTTGCATTAAATGTTTCAGCAATATTTTCAAATTGCGTACGTTTTTTAATATTTGCACTACGTGAGGGACACAGCCGGATCTATCATATTTTAAAAAATTTCAAACTTTACTAATATCATAAAAGGCATCAATCTCAATCAAAAAATCTAAATTATTTTATTATTTTATCATTGTATCACCAAAATGGTTAAAAAATAAGTGTTTCATAAAACGGATAATATCATTCGCATAACCCTTCCCAACACCACCTCCTTTCCTCAAATATCTCAAAATGCTACGTTCAAATATTTACAAATTATGTAAGTATGTAACCGTTTAAAGAATTTCATAAATATTTATGAGCCAATAAATTTCCATACGTTTCCACACATAAAAAAATCTACATGCGCTTCGTGAGAAGTAAGTCGTCCCAAAGAATTGATTGACCACTTGAAATCATCATCATCCCAAACAAAACAAAGCAAAATCGCATAATCCATTCTCATTTTACATATTGACCATCCCTCCTCCTCCTAATAATTTTCTGATACCAGAATGAATAATATTCCTCTTCGTGCGTGGCCCATATTTCAAAAATGGCAGTAAAAAAAGAAGCAGCAGCACTACAATAATATTTATCTGGTTCATATTCAAATTCAGATCACCGTTGCTATTACGTTATACGTGTTACATACATACGCTAATAAAAAAAAAGCAGCTCTAGTGTACAAATTCAAACAAAGTTTACTCCACTCCTCTTCAAATTCGTTGCAATAATGTTCCATCCATGTTCCCAATGTAATTGTTATGCCTAAAAATAAGACCATTCTTTCCCCTAATTCTTCACCTGTCGAGGGATACAAGTCACAGCAGGAGGTTTTAATTCTGCGTAAATTGGCCCACTTTTTATACCCGTCATTTCATTTCATTTCATTATTTATTGAAACTGACTACACGGGAAGATAGATAAGTCAATTAATGATCACATCCAATCCACGACATAGGCTTACTCACTGGCAGAGACCCCGTTAATAAAAACCGCAGCATAGAATGTATCTCTCTCTCTGCTACGTACAGGAAATTATTTAAATTATTTAAGACTACGTACGTACGTCCTCCTCCCCTGAATACGTCCTGCATACTGCTCTGGGTGCCTCAATGAAATGAATGACTAGGAATTATTTCATCTTTTTTGTCAGACATTTATTATTGAGTGGTCTCCAATCAGCCAAACGTCGCAATCGACGACCAACATCCGTCCATCAATTCCTCTCTGGTTGCTTTTATTTTTTGAAATGAATGGTCCAATCCATCCATCTCCGAGATCTTTTGTGTCTTTATTACCATCTTCTGCTCTCGTGGGTAGTTTGGTTAACTAACCCACCTCAATCGGCCAACAGAATGATAATAATGATCACATCACACACACACACGCAAGAAAGGATAATAATAATCTTGTCAATTTCTTTTCATTCAGATGATAAAATATAGGCCCGGAGAGGGTTTAGCCTTGAATTTCTTTCAAGGGCTGGCTAACTAATGTAAGTGGACATTTAATAAGTATCTGTGTTAACGCAGAAGAGAATGAAATAATAAAAATTTACTGTTACTGACCCACAGTTCGGGCATTTATCATCAACCTTATGGTTTATATTTATTCTTAGTGAGGCAAATACCTAACAACGAAAAAATTACTAAGTATGCATTTGACCCACCCCAAAAAAGTGACCATCTGCGATATCTCAGTCATTTTTCAACCGATTTTGATGAAATTTTGCACCGATTATTGTTACATAATATAGAAATGGGATCTGATCCGACTAAGGGATTACGTGATCTTGACCGGAATTATGGGCAAAAATGTAGCCTTAGAAACACATTTGTAATTATTGCTAGTTACTAGCAAACTTTATCAAAAGTTTGATACCCACGAATTGTAGGGCAGTTTATCCCGAAAATTTTAAGTATAAATATATCAAAATCCGTTAAGAATTGGCTTAGTTATTCCAATTTGAAGTTCAGAAATTCCTGCTCGTGCTACGAATCATTGCCATTGACAACGACGCAAGACTAATAAATTGAAAACAAATTACATTCAAAACTGTAAACAGCATAACTAATTGTTTCTTTAACATGCTTGGTAAACTGCGTGAAATTGTTGTTGGTTTTGCACCTCCAGATCAGGTCTTTTGGTGTTTAGTAATCTAGGCCGGACATTTTGACCAAAATGATATAAATCGGTTAAGAAATAACGGATTTATTCAATTTTAAACACCCAGAATTTAATAAAATTATTCCGGATCAAACTACTGAAAAGGGGTAGTGCAATGCAGTCATCCAATGGACAATCTAATTCCCCAATTAAAAGTTATAAATAAACAAGGTCCCTAAAAAGGGGAAATCTTAGTGAGGGAGTGCAATCACAACTAATAAATAAAATTAGATTGGAGAATTTTTGCATCACCGCTCTCGGTACCATTTTTATTACTGGAAGCATTAATCGTTTAAATAGAACACTTGCTCCCTCAAAAGGTTCGATGATTTTGCATAGAGTAGCCAAATTAATATATGAAGTTGAAATTTGAAT